TAAAATATTTTTACCCGGCGTAAATACTTTTTTATATAAATTTAATAAAAAAATATATTAATGGAATAATTTATTTTTTAAAATTATTTTTTTTTATTATTATACTTTTAAAATAATTTTACTTTTATTAAATTATTTCGATAATTATTTTTTATTATTAAATTATTTTTATAAATTATTATTATTTTATTAAATAATATTAAAATTATTTTTTACATTAAAATGAAATTAATAAATAAAGAAAAATTATTCCTTAAATTATAATTATTTTAATTTCGTATTTAATTACTTTTTAAATAACTTTACTTTTATTAAATTATTTTAATAATTATTTTTTATTATTAAATTATTATAATAAATCGTTATTATTTTATTAAATAATATTATTAATATTAAAATTATTTTTTAAATTATAATGAAATTAATAAATAATAACGAATTATTTTTTAAATTATAATTAATTTAATTAATTTAATTAATTTAACTTATTTAATTAATTTAATTAATTTAATCGATTTATTTTAATACGTACGTATTTAATTTATTTAATTTATTTAATTTATTTAATTTATTTAATTTATTTAATTTTTTTATTTTAATAAATACGTATGCGATTAATTAAATTAATTAAATTAATTCGATTAATTCGATTAATTTAATTTAAATTAATTTAATTAATTTAATAAGTTAATTCGATTAATTTAATTAATTTAATTAATTCGATTTATTTTAATAAGTGATTAAAATTTAAACTTTATATTTAACTTTTTTACTTTTATTTTAACGATATTTTTATTACTTTTAATATTTAATAAAATACTTACCGCTTTCGTTACTTTTTTTTTATTTTTTATTTTTTACTTATTTATTTACTTATTTTTTTTTATTAATTTTTTTACTTTTTCATTTTTATATTTTTTTATTTTTTCATTTTTATATTTTTTTATTTTTTTATTTTTTAATTATATAATTATATAATTTATTTATTTATTTATTTATTTACTTATTTATTTATATATATATTTATATATATATATATATACGTACGTATTTATTTATTTATTTATTTATTTATTTATTTATTTATTTATTTAATAATTAATTAAATAATTAACTTTTAAATTATTTAATTAAAATACGTATTTAAATAATTACTTAATTATTTATTTATAAATCGATTTATTTAATTATAAATTAACTTATTTTTAAATCGATTTAATTATTTTTAAATCGATTTAAATACGTACGTATAAATTTATTTATTAAATAATTTTAAAATTAAATTATTAATTTAATTATTTTAAATTAATTTATTTAAAATCGATTTATTTTAAATCGTAAAAATAATTTTAAACTTTATAAAAATATTATATATATAAAATCGATAAAAATTAAAAAAAATTATTCTTTATATTAAAATTATATATTTAATAAAATAATTTTAAACTTTATAAAAACATTATATATATAAAATCGATAAAAATTAAAAAAAAAAACCATTTTTTATATTAAAAACATTTAACTTAATAAAATAATTTTATATTTTATAAAATAATTACATGTATAAAATCGATAAAAATTAAAAAAAATCATTTTACGATCGAGAATAATTTCTTTTAATTTTTATCGATTTTATGCATGTAATGCTTTTATAAAGTTTAAAATCATTCTCGCGATCCGGGGGTTCCCGTTATAATATACGATAAAAAAAAAAAAAATAATTTTAAAAATTATTTTATACGTTTACGAATATTATATTTACGAATATAAAATAAAAGTAATATTCGTGGTAATTAAATATTTTAAAATATATAAATTAAATTTAAGTTTATTTAATTAAAATTATTTTTATAAATATTATTTAAAAAAAAACGATATTTTAATTTTTTTTTTAAAATAATATTTAACTTTATAAATTTAATTTAATATTAATATTATAAATTAATTTTAAATTAATTAATAAAAAACTTTTAAATATAATTATTACGTTAAATTTATTAAAAAATTTTAATCGATAAAAAAATATTATATTATTATTTCGTTAATAAATATTATTAAATATAAATAAATAATTATTAATAATTTATTTAAAAAAAATAAAAATTCTTAAAATAAATTAAAGTTTTATATTAAAAATAATATTTTTAAAACTTTCGTAATTATATATAAAAAACGAATTAATATATTTTTACACGTATAATTCGCGATAAATTTTCGTAATTTTTATATTTTTCGTATTTTAATTTTTATTATATTTTTATTTATAAAATAAATGGAAAATTTAAATAATTTATTTTTTAAAAACGATGAAAAAAGTTAATTTATACGACGTTAATTAATATATTCGTATATAAATTTTAACTTTATTTTATCGTTAATAAAAAATTAAATATTACGAAAGGAAATTTTAAATTAATTTAACTTATTATTATTAATTTTTAAAATAATACGATAATAAAATTCGAAAAGTTTTATTTTAAAACGTTTTAAAATTATAAGTTTTATTAAATTATTTTTATTATTAATTTATTATTAACGTTTTTTAAAAAAATTTTATATTAACCGGGCGTTTCGTAATTTATATAATACGTTAATAAATTAATTTTATTAACGAATCGTTTATTATAAATTATAAATTTTTAAGCTTTTATATTTTTAATTTACGGTAAAAATAATTTAATTTTTTTTTAAAACCGAAAGTAAATAATATAAACGAAAAAAATTTAAAAAAATTTATACGAAAAAAACTAATTACGTTTAATAAAAAAAACTTATTTATTTTTATAAATATAATATAAACCGTTAATATAAAAGTATTATTCGTTTTTTACGAAACGTAAAATATTTTTAATAAAATTACTCGTTAATTTTAATTTTTTTAAAACGTTATTTTATTAAAATCGTAATAAAGTTTAATTATTTAAAATAAAACTTTTTTAAATAATTAAAATTTAATTATTAATATAAACTTTATTATTATAATTACCGTTTTAAAATATAATGGTAATTATAATTACGTATTTACCGGAAATTTTTTTATATTTTTTTATAAAAACCACTCGTTAAAATTTAAAATAAATATTAAAAAACGAAAAGTTAATTAACTTTTTATTAATATTATTAATTTTAAAAACGGAAAAAGCGGTTTAATAACGCGTTGAAAAAATAAAATCGTTTAATTAATAAACGTAAAAAAAAATTAAAATAACGAACCACGTAAAAACCGTAATGCTTTAAATTTTTAAATTAATAAAAAATCATCGACTTTTAAATATAATATTCGTAAATAATTAAAATTATTAAAACTTAAATATTACGAAAAACTTATTAATAAATAATAAAATATTATATAAATAAATAAATTTAATATATTATTTTAATTATTTTAAAAAATAATAAATATTATATAAATAAATATTTTATTTTTAAAAATTTTTTATAATATTAATATTATATTAATTAATATTTTAAATATTAAAATTATATAAATATATTAATTTTCATAAATTTATTTATTTATAATTTTATATAATATATTTAAAATATTTTTTTTAATAATACGTTATTACGTAACATTATTAAACTTTAATAAAACTTAATATAAATTATATTATTTAATTACGTTTTTTATAAAATATTAATATTTTTAATTATAAATAAATTTAATATATATAAATAAATAAAATTATTTAAATATAAAACGAAAAAATTAAAACTTATTTAAATATAATAATATATTAAATTATAATTTTTTTTATATAAACTTAAATTAATTAAATATAATTAATTAAAAATAACGCTTTTTAATTTAATATAAAATTATATATATTATTTCGTATATTTTAAATTTTAAAAAAATTTAATTAATTATAATAATTATTTTTTAAATTTTATATATTTTAATTTAAACGCGTTTTTTTTACATTATAATAATAATAATAATAATAATATTATAAGTAATAATATTAATTTTATTTAATAAATTTTTATTAACGTTAAAAATATATCGTAATTTAATTTTTTAATTATTATTTTAAATTATAAAAATGAAAAAAAACCGTATTTTTTACCGAAAACGTATTTAAATTACATTTAATAACGTTCGAAAAGTTTTTAATAATATATAAAAACATATAAATATTTTAAACCGAAATAAATCGAAATTATATTATTATTTACGTAAAACGAATAATAAAAAAATTAAAAATACACGAATAATCGTTTATTATTTATTTAAATAAATATAAAATAAAATAAAAAATTATAATTACTTATTAAAAAATTAAATTAAAAATAAAAGTATAATTATAAAAAATAAAAATAAAAATAAATAAAAATTACGTTAATAAAAAAAAATATTAAAACCGGGTTCGAAAAAACCTTATTAAATAAAGTTTTATTTTTTAAAAAAAACATTAAATAATTAATAAATATTTTATTTATTAATTATAAAATTATTTTTTTTATTATTAAAAAATTATTATTAAAATTTTTTATTTTTATATTTAATATATTTTTTATTTATTTATTTATTTTCGAAAAATTATTTAATTAATCGTTAAATCGATAATAATTTAAAATTTAAATTAATAATATATTAAATTATTTTTTTTTTACGTTCGAATATAAAAATTTTCGCTTATTTTAATATAATTAAATTAATTTATTTTTATTATTATAACTTTTAATATTATAATAAATAATAATTATATATTTATTTATTTATTAAATATTTAAATATAATAAAGTTTAATTTAATTAATAATTATTATAATATTATTAAATAAATATTTATTTTTTTAATATTTTTATAAAAATAAAAAACTTATTATATTTATTTAATAAATATTTACTTATATATATTATAATTTATAAACCTTTCAATCCTTAAATTATAAAACATAATGTATTTTCGTTGTATACTATATTTATACAGTATACCTTTCAATACATTAATTGAATTAGCGGGTTGGCGGATTTATCCTTATGGTCCGCCGTTAATTTAGCTTTACCTTGACAACATTCAATGCCACCTGGTCAGATTTAGAAGAGAAAGCTCGTCTAAGTGACCAGATGACTTTGACAACGATACGACACATACTAATACAACGGTGACGACTATGGTTTCCGCTTCGCCATCGCCGCACAAACCGCGGCGCAAGAATAAGAAGACGGCGCATTTCGACGATTCCGTCAATGTTAAACCCGAAGCTCTCATCCGAACTCCCTCCTTCCCTCTAGCAGCTTTTCTCTGGCCTGCACGGGGCTCTCTATCACAATGGGAAGTTCTTCCCCTCATACTTATGGTTGTCGGACTGTTTAGATGGGCTGCCGGGCTCTGGGGATATTCAGGTAAGGCACCAGGACTATCACAACCTCGCTCAATGCGCTGCGCCTCTAGCTATGTCTGTGTCAGATTCAAGCTAACACTTTCCTAACCACAGGCTTCCAGAAACCACCAATGTTTGGAGACTACGAAGCGCAAAGACACTGGATGGAGATTACAACACATCTACCAATATCACAATGGTATTTTCACGATTTACAATGGTGGGGTCTCGATTACCCTCCCTTGACAGCATACCACAGCTTGCTACTCGGCAAGGTCGGGTCTCTTATCGATCCGTCGTGGTTCGCACTCTATTCGTCTCGAGGTTTACAAGATCCGACGCTCAAGGTTTTCATGAGAGCTACCGTCATCGTGTCCGAATACCTCATTTATATACCTGCCGCGGTAATCTTCGTTAGGAGGTATAGCCGGCTCTTTGGAGTTGCTCAATGGACAGCTTCAGTAGCTCTTGTCGCTATACTTATGCAGCCGGCTACTATCCTCATCGACCACGTCCACTTCCAGTACAACACCGTGATGCTCGGGTTCGTCTTGGCAAGCATGTCAAGTATGGTGGCAGGTCGATATATGTGGGCGTCTGTCTTCTTCGTTGCAGCTCTAGGTTTTAAGCAGATGGCGCTATACTATGCGCCAGCTGTGTTTGCCTTCCTATTAGGAAGCTGTACATTTCCCCGGATCAACATTGCACGACTTACAGGAATCGCAGCCGTAACTCTTGCCTCCTTCGCGGTACTCGTACTGCCGATAATTCTAGGTGCATTATATGATGCCAGCCGAGGTATCGATTCGAGACCTACTTTTGATGGACCTCGGCCCCCACTCCCTATCTTCACATTTCTTTCGGACTACCTAGACACAAAAGCAGCATATTATCCAGTGGTTGAGCAGGTAGTCCAAATGGTTCACCGAATCTTCCCCTTCGCGAGAGGACTATTTGAAGACAAGGTCGCCAACTTCTGGTGCACAGCTAACGTGCTTATTAAATTGCGAAAATACCCAACTGAACTTCTACAAAGAGTTTCACTTTTAGCTACTCTCGCCTCTATCACCCCGCCTTGTGCAGTCATATTCTTCAAGCCGCGCAAGGAGCTTCTCCCATACGCCTTTAGCGCCACTGCCTGGGGCTTTTTCTTATTTAGCTACCAAGTCCACGAGAAGAGCGCTCTTCTTCCTCTCCTCCCTATGACTTTACTCCTTGCCGGAAAACAGGGGCTAGGAAAGGACATCAGGTCCTGGGTTGGTTTTGGTAACCTCGTTGGCGTGTGGACAATGTTCCCGCTATTACAAAGAGTCGACCTACGCGTACCATACGCGGTCCTAACACTCTTATGGGCATATCTATTAGGTCTTCCGCCTGTATCGATTAGCGCCTATTTCGAGGAAGGACAGAATATCTGGGTTCAATGGCTAACAGCCATCACTCACGGTATTTTCTACGTCTCCATGGCTGCTTGGCACGTACTAGAAGCGACGGCCATTCCACCTCCCGACAAACCCGATCTCTGGGTTGTTGCCAACGTTGGTGTCGGCGCAGCCGGCTTTTCGCTTTGCTACTTGTGGTGCCTATGGAAGTTGGTCCAAGAGAGCGGACTTATCTCCCCGGTGTCTAAGGTCAAAACGACATGAGTCGACTGGAAGCCCGTGGCCGCGCCACTAGCTTGTATCATAGATAGAAATCATAAATAAAACCAGGTTCTCCACAGCTCGCCTTGCGAAGATATCGCCATAGACTGTTTTTGTGGGACGCAATTGGGTGGTTATCTGTAGCCTTGTACAGCATCTTCATAACCAACCATGGTAGCAACAATCTGTGTGACAGCAACATATCACCACCTACAACGGTAACTATCATGACCATTACATCCATCCAAGCTTCTATCTAGTCCTACATACATAATGTAGGAGGTTACACACGATCTAACATAGCTGATATTTGATAGGGAGATTTTAGTTCATGTATATTCTGCATTTAACCTCGCATCACCCAGGAAGCCGCATTTCTCCAACGGGATCTTGCTTGTGAGATATACTCATGACGGCATCTGCACCTACCCAAGATTTCGATCTCGTACGTTTTCAATACCCATAATATGTAGACATTTCCTCATAACCACGACACGTGCCTAATATAAATTTACGATATTAATATACGAATTATACCAAGACGAACTTCTCAAAGTATATAAACCCCAACAGATCGAAAAGGCAGAAATGAAGCCCTCACTCTCTCAAAGTCGTGCTCGTCGATCCCCAAAAAGGGGTAAAATCCGATTTGAAAGGTGGTTCCGCTACAAACCTAGCCGCGATTTCAATCTACAGCAGCAACACAGCATAAACGCATATACCAAATCGAACAATCCCATTATATTCCAATACCTCGCGGCGTTTATCTTCAATATAATACAAGCCCAACTACTCCGTACCTATCTTCAAGCGCGCATGAGATAAACAGGCAGTAGCATCAATCAATCAAGCAAAGTCATGCGAGGGAATCAACGACATCAAAACCTACACATTACAAAAGCACGCGCACACACATATCAATAATCCTAGTAGTGTCATTTCCTTGAGTAGTATAGACTTCTTTTTCACCCCTTTCGCAGCCAAGACCTCTTCATGATGATGGTAAGTTAGGTGAAAGCAATATATTTGGTGCCGCACCCAAATCCAGCGTAGTGTGTCTTTTCCGGCTGTAAATCAACTTTTCTTTTTTAATAAAACCTCGCTTTCTGCGCCCGTTACGCCACAAAATGTGTTGCCCCAATCGGCATCGGCACACGGCGGAAGATAACCCGGCCAAAGCTCATGTGTGATCGCGATGCGGAATGCTATCGGTAGAGTTTCTCCTCGGGCAAACTCTACTCGCCTAATACACCTTCTTCTTCTCGTCGATACTGAACTGTCCCGGGCCGCTGTTAACGAGCAAAAGGAGACCACCAACGATGGACAAGATCTGGAAGAAATCGTATTTGGCAAAATCCTTGTGGGGGTGGTGTTCGTGGAGCTATACAGTGTTAGTTTATTTAATTGACAACCATTGCTTGTCGGCGTAGAAACTTACAGTCCAGAAGTTGTTCACCAAAACGTTGAAGACACTTAGGATGACCACCAAAAGAGTGGCGCTGAACTTAGCCTTAAATCCAACAACGACCATGACACAAGCCATCAAACCAATGACGGAGACACCAATTCTCCAGATAGACCACTCTCCGCTGAAAACAAACCCGATGAAGAGGAAGATTAGCAAAACACGACCAGCCAATTGGAAGTACATCTTCCGGTCCTTCTCGTCTAGCTGAGGAAGGCCCGCGAACGCCTTGGTCTTCCTAACCCAAGAGTCAGACAACACCATAATCAGTCCACCAACGACGGAGAGATTTCGGAGGAAGAAGTTGAGGTCGAAGATTAAGCCGTATCCGAGCGCCTGGGTAATGACGACGCCCACGAGACCACCAACGGCGTAGTCGGAGTGCTTTCGGATGATGACCATGGTAGAGCAGGCGAACATTGTTAATACGTTCACAATGAGGAATAAATGTGTCAGGCCGTTAGGGACTGGCAATTCGGGTAAGCTTAACAAGAGTGATCTATTATTGATGAGATTGATGTACCACGTACTATGCCTATACGAATTCAAGTATACGAGTTGGTCGTTCCATTGTGTTATAATTCTTAGAGCATCCTCGAGGAATGTGACGACGATTAGGAATCGCCCAATTGCTGGTAGATATCTGTGGTAAAATAGCGCGTTAGCTTTGCCTCGGATCCGCGTGGGTCCTAGTAGCTAAACACATGAGAGTATATAGCTCTTGTAAAGCAACTGCTTGCGGAGGCGAAAAACGTATTGACATACGGCTTAATGGGTTCGCTGATGGTATCCAAAATATCCTCGATCTTACTAGTTTGTTCCCTAATTGCGTCCAGAGGACTCGGGTCGGCGACGTCGCTTTTGGGACCGCCAAAGGGGTTCGGACCACCGAGGTGGTAGCCGGCTGTACCTCTGATCTGGGCCATTTTGGTTGATCGCGGTTCTATGTCGCCCAGGCCAGCTGTTTATGCGCGAAACGGCGAGAATGTGGACGTTGGTTGCGCGAAGAATGTACACGTAAATACAGATTTAGGAGACCGAGGTAATGTTTGGTGGTCAGACGTAAGAACAGGGAAGGGGTATCAGCGAGTAGAGAGAAATAGAGAGAGGGAGAGAGACAAGTCGGAGATAGGTGTCGACTTGAGTTTGGTGGCGATAGTTAGTAGGTGTTTGAAGAAATGAGTCGAGGTCGAGTAATAAAAAAAGAGAGGGAAAGCTGGAAAGCTAGCGATTCACTTCGCCTTTCGTATGATGTGATTATAATTCGATGTCCCGGATCGGTTTCTTCGCTTTTAATGTGTGCTAGACAACCGTGTCCTCAATTGAATAAGTACTTGAAAAGTACATAAAAGTGATGCAAGGCCAAACTTCCGACATGCCAGATTGGTTCATTGGTTCATTTGCTTCGCTGACTTTGACTCAGCTAACACCATTTGTGGTATGGCTCATGCGCACTGACCATAAACAGTTCTCCTAGAGCTCCCTTGAGTTAAGAAGGAACTTGACCTGTAACTCAAACCTTCTAGCAAATCGAAGTATTGTTTCATCCTACAACCCCACTTAGGTACATTAGCATTTCATGGGATGAGGCTTGTATTAGCGGATCCCTTGAAGCTTAAATACGTCGGCAAGAGGTATATCCGCAGCCGACTGTTACTTGCTTTAGCTAGCGCGGCTTTAACGGACTTCCCGTGGTACGCAAGTTTAACCTAATAGAACCTTGAAATCCACGCTACTTGGTACGCTTCGCCGCAGCATGCCAAAAATAAACCTCCATTTTGACGTAAGCGCACCTTTCACCATTCCCATTCCTGGTAAATAGCCTAGGTACGCTGAAGACTCGGGAACACAAAGCCTTAGCCGTGCCATGACATATATCGAATATGCCGTTTCCAATTTTGATTGGATATCGAAGAGATGTTAGCTAGAAATATTAGAAGACGAAGCGGGGAAATAAATCTGATTGCTCCTGTCGATCGGCGGCGTTACCATTTCATCAGTACCCAAGATAGATTACCAGGTACTGCGCCCTACAGTACCTAGTAGGAACTTAGGAAGACGTCTAGAAACTCCTAAATCCCACAAGCATCCCAAAATGGATACACAATTGTTGTCTAACTGATTTATGAACATTGTGTATCTCCTCAAGTGGTACGGGAGACTCAAGCCCCTTTAACTTTGATTTAACTCAACCCACTATAATATAAGTCTTCCATGGGCGATATACTTATACTAGACCAAAGCTATTAATTAATTGATATACCTATTCAAGCTTCTTTGCCGCTTTAGCAAACACGGAGAAGTGTACATGGTCGTCCAACAAATATATTCGTATAGCATAGTAGAGTGATCTTGCTTATACGTCACGTAATATCGTTAACCTAACCGTAGCATTAAGCTGTCCATTTCCAGGCCTAACGCCACATTACTCTGTTGCTTTTGTACCATAGGCTCTTACATATCCCTAACCGCCACATGCCGTCCCCGTACCGAATGAACACGTATATGCGTGTGGTACAAGGGAAATACGAGTAGTAGCTCGACAACTAAAGCGCCTCCTCTTTCGCCGGCCAGCCTTCCTTGGCGCGGGTATTGACGGCGTTACGCATCCCATCGTCATTTAAGTTGACCTTAGCTAAGCGCACTACCAGAACCTCGACAGCGAGGGTAAGCGGTATGTATAGCTGCTTATTTTCGACTCGACGCTGTCATCCGGATCGCCTAGCGGATCTTTCATGGGTAAGAGGCGGTTGGAAGGGTTGAAGGACGGGGACATCTCCAGAACATCTTCTAGATGCCGTGTCGCTTGATCCAATATGACTCGGACCATTCCCTGCGCATCAAAGCCCCAAAAGCCGAATAAATCGCCTATACCGCGAAGCCGTCGCGTAACCCACCACCACACAACCAACTAACCCCTCACGCAATGATCAAAGAATCAATACTAGCCTTAGCAATAGCAATAACCCTCAAACAAGTCGGCGTCTCCCCGGGCTCATGCATCCGAATACCCATACCACACGCCCTCGGGTCCCACGCCCCGCTCGCCATCAACGCATCCATGACCGCGTGCCGCGCCTTACTCTTCTGCTCCATCTGCATCACGATATCCTTCAGCCCAATATGCAGCGGCAAAGCCTGCGCCTCCATCCCGCCCCTCGACTCCGTGAGCCCATACACATCGACTTTCAGCAGCGCCCGCACCGTAAGCCGCCACATCGCGGGCTCCATCTCCCGGTAATCCAACGTCGCGGCTGACGCGCACTCCTCCGCCTCCGCGTCCGCCCACAGGATGCCCCCGAACCCCGCGAGCTTGAACACCAGTCTCCGCCGCTCCGCGGTCGCGCGCGCGGTCTCTACGTCTACGGCGTGCAGGATCCGTTCGTAGGCGTGGACGATGGACGGGATGAGAGCCGCGAGCAGCATCAGGTTCTGGAAGTTGCGCATGATGTCCGCGGCGTGGTCCGGTGGCTGCACGTTGAACGAGCACACGGGGCAGAACACGACGTCGTACGCTGTCCGCGTCGCGCGCCGCGCGTGTCGGATCGCGGCTTCGACGCCTTCGGGCGCGCTTTGCATCGAGTCTAGGGCTAGGTACAGCGCTGCTGTGTGCGCGCATGTTCCGGGTGTTGCGGTGGTTGCGGGAGCGGCGGGGGTGCGGCTACATTTGTGACTGTGGCTGCTGTTGCTGCTTACGCTTTCCGGCGTGCTGGCTGTGTTGGGGGTTAGGGTTGGGACTTGGTCTGCGGGAGGGGGATCGAGGGAGAAGAGGGAGGGGTCGATATTCGTGTTCGAGAACGACGGCGTGTCCGGGTCGAAGCCGATGTCGCCTAGACTATCCCCCGTGTACCCGAACGAGAACTGGTAGCCCTTGTCCTGCATGACATGGCTTTCCGCGGTATCCTCCTGCATGTTGTCGTAATTAAGAAAGTTGAGGTCCCCGGCTAGCAGGTTGATGAACGCGAGCCCGGGGTCCGGGGTATCGTTCGGAAGCTCCGTCATCGTGTTTTTGGTCGCGGGCTCGGCGTCCGATTTCTCGGTGCTCGTCTCGTCGCGGGTCCGTTTCCGCGGCCGACCCATGGGCTTCTGCGGGGAGTAGTGGCAGGCGATGCCCTCTCGCTTGCATCGGGAGCAGCCATCGGATTCCTTAGTGCAAGCTAGCTTACGTGTGCCTGTGGCGATTGTAAGTCCGAATGAAAGATTCGAGACGTTTGTGAATAAGGTAAGTAAGGTAAGTAGGTGCCTAACGTACGACATTCATCGCAGGCCCTATGTTTAGGACCACAATCGGCGACGGCCCTTGTCGTTATCGTCGTCGACATCATGAAAATCGGAAACCACCCCACGAATCTTCGCTACACTTCACTCTCAAACGTGTATATACGTAACTATGTTCTGTGTATTGTTTCTTTATTGGATTATAACTAAGATAAATGTTTTATAGTTGGAAGAATCGATCTAAGTTGAGGCATGCGGTGAAACCAATGGAGTTGTATTTTAGTCTCTTGGGCTTTGACTTCTAGGGTCTTATTTCCATTCTTCTGATTCGTAAGCCCCGGTTGTGCCTTGTCTCCATTTCTCACTTTCCTGCTTTCGGCAAGTGGGCTAGCTGAGATAAGGTCAGGTACTTCGAAACTTGCTCAAAATACTTGGAAATCCCCTAAATATAGTAAGTGGATAATGTGTCTTAGATCATCTCGAACGTACAGAGTACATACATACCAAGTCGCTACATGTATACATGTATGTACCATGTAGTAGTTTGTGTAACGAAGGTGACGCTACGGACTCTTTCACGTCTTCAAGTTATGAACATTGCAGATTGCAACATATCTCGATTTGAGGTAACATTGGTTAATCATAACTATTTGCGCATACTAAGAGCCACTGGAAAGCCGTCAGAGTCGGATTGGTGCCTGGTTCCTTGATCACCTTTTCATTGGACTCTTTCGGAGTCCTCTGTTACGTTGATCCTTTGGACTTTCCTGATGCATCTCACCAACCGCTCTTAGGTCAGCCAAGAACCGACGAATCCTCAGCCCAGTCTTATCCCGTATTAAAGCATCATACACGTTGTCTGCTGCCGCGTATATAGCGACTTGAAGCCCCTTGATGACATCTCTATCGTTGATGTCTGCGTCGTCGTAATCGAAGAAGACGTCCAAGTCGTTCAAGAGATCCTCAGTTTTGGGTAATCTGGGCAACGTCTTGTCTACTGGGGGACTGGGTAGCGGCTGTTTATGAGGCGGGCTTGGAGAATTTTGAGTAGGTTTAGGCGGAAGCGGTAAGGGTTTCTTCAGCTTCCGACCAGGAGACTTAGTTGGCAGCGGTTTCCCATTCATAAATATGACCTCTTCTGTTGACTTAAGCCGATGTGAAGGAGTAATGACAGATGGTTGCTGCTGGTGAGACTCGGGAGGGAAAGAATGCGTCTCCTTCTGGTTCGTCTTTTCTAACAAAGTCGCTGGGCGACTGCATAACTGACCCATGGTGTCCGCTTGCCGTTCCATCTTGTTAAGCTGTTCAGAAACTTCATCCAATGCCCGTTCCAATGATGATGGCCGGCGACTGGCATGTCGTGCTGGGTATGGCAATGAAGGGACCGAGGAGGGTGTTGTTTGAGACGACATAGCCCGCAACTGTTGATCAATTGTAGTACTTAGAGCCGGTGTGCCTTTTGGTTCGGGTAGGGGGGAGAGCCGAGCCGTTGTTCGGACAGGACGAACTGGCGAATTCTCTTTCTCTTCTTCGATAGTTTCAGGTCGAGGTACACGAGGGGCGGCCCCATCCCGCCTGCGCAAGCCTGTATGCAGTGTTGATTGTCTGGGCCCTGGTCCCGAGCCAGCATGCGAATTTGCCAATTCCGGACGTGGTGCATTCTGGTTTTGCTTAACATCAACGAATTGGTGTGTTCTTAATGATGACCTTTTGGGAGCAGGAGCAGTAACAGGCGGTCGAGTCGGTCTCAAGGAAGGCTTTGTAGGTGTAGCAGGGACAGGAGGTAAGCTTGGTAAGTCTTTAAAGGCGTGAGATTTCCGAAGGCCACGCACATTGTGTGGATCTGTGGTTCTCACTCGACTTTGAATTTGGACATTCCTAGCGGGTGGTCGAGGTGGTTGCGGTGCAGGTTGCTCAGGGGGCATTTCTCTAGCTGGTGATTTTCTTTTCAACCACGGAAAGATTCCCTTTTTACCCTGGGATGGTGGCTGCTGCTTCGGCACAAAATGTGTATTTGGCAATGCCTCTATCAGAGACCCACCAGGACTAAATTCGACAAACGATCCAGAACTCGAGCATGAGTCTTCGCTCTTAGTCTCGTCTTGCTCATCGGAGTCGGAACTCGTTCCTACAGATTCTACCACGACCTTCAGTGAATGTTTCATAGGCTTTCGTCTGCCGCTAGGCTTGACCGGAGACTCCCGTCTTTGTTCCGAAGATGTCACCGCGAGCCCAGCTTTTTGGAACTCCCTTCGATATGGTAATAATTGTTGGACTGTATGATATGACACTTTCGACTCAGACTCGGTCGGCGTCATGGCTGGAGCCGTTCCAGCTACTGCCGCGGCGTCCGCATACTTCGTAAGTTGTCTCGTGAAGCGATTCAGAGTTTTTCGTTGGCTAGATGTTCGAGACGGCATATCTGATGGGTGATTTAAGTCTTCCATCGTATCCTCTGGCATGACCATTGTAGATAGCCGTCGTTGTTGATCGAGCGTCCTATTGATTGCATCCTAGACAACAGGGTCTGCAAGACCAAACCGCTTTTCTCGAGCCGGTCCTCGATTCCGTCCCGAAGCACTCATACCTTTTAGCCGTCGACCTCCAACCGTTTGCCCAGTCTGCTGTGGTTTCGAGGGGTATTGCTCATGGTTGGTAATGGGTTGAGCAGGACCATCTAGCCCGTACATAGGCGTGTCTTCGATGGGGTTAATCATGCCGGGATTAATATTTGGAGTTTGAGATTGGCGCAATGTGCCCCAGTACGGATGATCTTCAGTAAATTCGGATACCTGCATCAGCGAATATGGGTTGTCATCGGCCAACGACGGCCTCGTCCCTCGTGAAGGGAGGCGTCGGCTGACTCGGACACCATTTTTCTTTCGGCTGATCCTGCGTTGTCTCTGGAATTCTCGCTCTCTTACTAGATGCTCTGGTAATGGGGTACGAAATACTTCTTCGGCGGCCCGATGTGAAAGATTTTCGCCTAATTGCGCTGCCGACGGGTGTGTGATCTTCGGTCGACAATTTGGACTTCCCTTCTAAGGTAAACTGAGTTTAGGCATCGTCTGTATACCAAAAAGTTTTCCCAAAAAATCCCAAAAGAAAAATCTATGTTGTGAATAGTCGTACTGATGGTCGTGTGCTGCATGTAGGGTCTTAAGGAAGTTGATGTTCTTTCCTGACTGTAGAATGTAGAGTGTGGTCTAAGGTCTTATAGACTTCGCCATGGTTCAGATGACGACTGTTCATCATAGTAGTGACTCGGTAAGCCAATATTGAGATTGGTAGTTATGACCCGCCTCTGCTGTGGGCTGTAGTTTCTCATTCTCCGATATTATTAGGCAGTATCACCTAACATCTTTAACACCAGGTGATGAATATAGTTCTAACTGGCGTCTCCCCTTCCGTAATAGAAACTCGATAGCAGAAAAGTCTCTTTTGTCTAGTTTGATATGTTTATGAAATTCAGATCTAAATCTAGAATAAGCTCATGGTAAACAGTAAATTTATCTTATAGTAGAAATACCTAGCAAATGATTCAAAGTGCGGTCGCGTAGCCTATGGTTATTTATTAGCTCGGATAACTTATTTGATATTGAAGGATGAGGTCACGAACCACGGGTTTCTTGCGGCTTTCCCGGAGGCAATTCCGGTAAAGAGACAAGACCTCTTTTTGCAGACCTGATAAGCGCATCTTAAATAGTATATAATTTATAAGACGAATATTAACTGTTCATGTGGACATACGATTGTGCGATTCAATGAAAAGACTCAAAAAAGATGAAGCTTGTTCCTACCTCGGTACGAAAATGTCACGACGGCGATTCGATGTGGGTCATTTAAGTCTGTATCCATTGTTACATAATCATCTATTGGTACCTACATACATAACGCATATATCCTATTCAAAAGCGAGGTTATTCAAAAAGTAAATATCGAAATGGAAATATTGAGATGTGTTGTTTATTAACATCTATAAACATCTAGACGTTATTTTGGGTGGTCTATGAGGTTCATAATCTATCTAGCCATACCGTAACCATTCCCATGATTTAGAGTGAGTAGAGACTCCCCAAACTCATACAGTAGTAGTACACAGGTACTGGACAGGTACTGTAGCCACCAACATGCAGTGCGTTTGTCAGACCTCACCGGCCAGCCTTTTTCATATAAATGTCGTCATGGATCTTCGAGAAGCAGTTCAAACTTCGCAGAGGTGGGGATGTCCGGGTTTCAATGAGCGGACTAGAAAGTCCGATGTCTCATTTCTTTTGAAAATATGAGCTGGCTTGAAGGGCCTTCAACCCCTGAAAGGCAACCCAGCCCGCAACAAGAACCGTCACCATGATGCGTATCTCACGCACTGTAGCCGCAGTTGCAGGATCGAGACGGATGATATGCACATGTTCGATAGCGCCTCCGTGCTGTGCTGCGAGGGAAAAGGACTCCATCCAATGTACGTTTTCCGAGTCTCTCGTCGTGTTTTGGCGGTGGCCGTAGTGACTTATTTCTAATAAAAAACTTCGAATAGTAGGTTTCGTATATGTCTTGTGTCAGGTAGTTATTCTCGAAATCGATTGTTGTTGATTGGACGTTAAGTATGGTACGGCCAAGTTGAAAAAGTTGGCCGACCGAGAGTGAAAATTATTCCGCTGAATTTTTGTGGATTCTCTCTTAACCCTTCAACTCTCATCGAGAAATCTAAGCATCATGGAAAGAGTCGAGCACATATTCTCTCTCCAGCACAATATCCTGTTGAGGGAATGCAATAAGAAAATAAACCTGCGTAAAATCCATGAATGCTATCATACAAAGTTATCATTCCTCATATGAAAATATGAGAGCCTAGATGAAAAGCCACTGACGTAAATGAGAACTCAAGCGAAGACCACACACAGGTAAATAACCAAAATTCATGTCAAAAATATCACGATCTTAGAACTCGGGTGTATTATTTGTGATAGCATCATTCATTTTAACCACCGAAGAAACCACGCACCAGACACGGATGCCACGAAGGGCACATCCATACCATGTATAGAAACATCAAACGATCCAACCCAGATGCCCCGAAAACCCAGCCCAAAATGACGGAGGGGAGGTAATACCAAAAAGTGAGGGTATCGAGCAATGCAAACAGCAGCGTCGTCTCGCCCATGCAAACAACAATTTAAACATCGCGAACAACATTCATCCAACATCATTAAAGACAATCCCACCCGTCCTCATTATACCTTATGCGGCACATGATCATGCGTCTCAATCGCGACCTCCTTCTCAACCTGCTCCAGATCCAAATGCGCAACGGGCGCATCCTCGCCATCAATAACCTTCGCGAGCTCCTCCAGCGTCGGGCCTTTCGTCTCGACATACATGAAGTACACGAACACCAACTCGCAGAGGATCCAGCACGTGTAAATCAGATACAGCTTCCAGCTATGGCTCTCGCCAAACGCGTCGAAAGCAACGGGGTTCGCGTAGGCGTTGAGGCACAGCGCGGCTTGCACCATGACGTTGAGGATCATGAGACCCTTGGCGCGCAGCTTGTACGGCAGGATCTCGATGGCGTAGCCGATGAGCAGACCGGACCAGGCGATTGAGTAGAAGAACCCGAAGAGCCAGATGAAGAAGATCATGGCGTAGTTTGCCCCTGGAGACCCGTGTTCCCCGTATAAACCCGCGGATAGCGTCCAGAAGATGAAGACGACGAACATGCCCGCTGTGGACGTCAGGAACATTGGGCGTCGGCCCCATCGGTCGACTAGGGTGGCCATTGTTACGGAGACGATTAGGGAGAGGATTGTTTGGCCGCCGGAGAGCTGGTCATTGTTAGCATGTCGAATATCGTAGAACAGATTGTCTAAGTGTATGGGGAGGGAAAACTCACGCCGAATTTCGAGTTCGAGTCCGTGACGCCGGCCTGGTCATACAACTTGCTAGCGAAGTTGGAAATGATCGCATTGCCAGACCACTGTGAGAACAGACCCAAAGAGAGCAGGACTATCAACCGGTACCTGTTTCCCTTCGTCCTGAAAAAATCGATGTAGCTGCTGTTCGCCTGGCTCTCCATCTCGAGCCGGATCGTCTCCTTGATCTCGCGGAACTCGAACTGCACGGTCGGGTGCTGGGTGTTTCCGTTGGCGTGGTAGCGCGCGAGGATTTCGAGGGCTTGGTCGTGCTTGTCCTTTGCCATCAGGAATCGAGGTGACTCGGGAACCCACCAGATGAAGATGAGCTGGATGACGGATGGTAGGGCTTGCAGGATGGCGGGGATACGCCATGACCAGTCGCTCTGGATGTAGTTCGTGCCGAAGGAAAGCCATGTGACGACTATCTCAAGTCAGCAAATCTCGCTCAGTTTAATGTGTCGGGGAGTAGCTCGTACTAATAGCGCCGGCATTCCACAAGCAGTTATACACAGCAGTAAGACGACCACGATGTTGGGGGTGCGCGATCTCGGTCAGCAACATGGGCGAAGCGATCTGGGCCAAGCTGTTTCCGAACCCCATCATCACACGGCCTCCCATGAACGTATTGATATTGCTGGCGACGCCCTGGAGAATAGCACCAACGGTCATGATGACACATCCCACGATAATAGGTACTTTTCGGCCCCAGTTATCGGCGAGCAGAGGCCTACGAATTGTCAGCCTGTTCACTTTCACATTATTTCAATGGAAAAAAGGAAGTAATGCCACTCACACCAGGGGAATCGAGCCCAAGCTACCAATCTGGTATAACGCGGCTAAAAGACCGAGTTGTGATCCTTGCGGGTTGTTGAAGAAAGCCTTCCACGTCTCGAAAACCTGCACCGAGTTGAAGAACATGCTGCAAACCACCAAGTTAGCACATTTCCCTATTCACCCCATCCCTCGAATACCCAGATAGGTACACTAGGGCCTTGGTAGGTTGGTAGGAGGTAGGTGTTTGTACCCATCGTAACCCGTAGTCGCGGCGGCAACACACAGCACCAAGCAGTAGAAGTACAGCTTCCTTAGACCGGGATCCCGCTTCCAGTCGACCTTCTCGAAGGCCGGCGCCTCCTCCTGCGCGTGCGCTATCTCCTCCTTCCGGGGCGCCTTCGCTGCGATCGCGCCGATCGCCATTGTGATCGGTGTTGTCTAGTCGCGGCTTTCGAACTGTGTGAGTGTAGGTAGCTACCTATTTAGCGACTATGTCGAACTCCAAGCTAGAGAGACACTACTTGTGAACTCTCCGTACGGATTGCTTGTTGGGAAGCTTAGTCTCCGAGGTCGAGAGGGTAGAGACGTGAACTACGTACGTATAGCGAGAGCTCAGAACCAGATTGTAGGATGGGAGCAGCTGCCCTGATATATGAAGGAGGCCAAGGCCCGTAGCAAGGGTGCCATTGCGGGCGAGCGGACCGGTACAGGATGGGTTCACTCGAACAGAAATTTGCACCGAGCCCACAGCTTGATCCCCAAGCTGGCCATCTCACATCCCAGACGCGAGATCTGGAATTGGGGGACCCGTTCTCGTGGTGAGATGCTTAGGTATAGCGTACATACATACGTGTGTGAGTGGGTTGTGGGTCCCTGCCTTACCCCATTAACCCCATGTCTAGTCCCCTGTGGTGCCATGGGGAAGGAGAGCAAGGTCAAGGGGGCAAGGGGAGACGGAGGGGGGTAGAAGCTAGGTTTGGTAGGGGATATGTCCGTGGATGTCTAGGTACCGTTCAAGGAATTTGGGATCCGAAAAAAAAAAAAAAGAAAAAAAAAAGTGAGAGAGAGAAGGAAAATTGCATTTCGGTTAATGAACCAAATTCTGGATTCCGCCGAGCCACGAGCGATCTAACTGGAACCCGGCCGAGTAGTAACGCCACCCGTAGTATTCAGGTCGAGCAACATCCCGTTTGGTATGTCTCGCAGCAAGGTACTCGTTTCTCGATATTGCTCGGTAGTGCATTTGATTTCGGGAAGGGTATTTTCTTTGTCATAGACTCACATTCTACATACCGTCGAGGTAGTTCGAGGTAGCAGTAGATCTTCTACCGTGGCCGGGGTAATTCTGCAGAAGGGTAGCCATCGCCGGATTATCGACCGGCCGTCCATGTCACGATTTGATATGATAGACAGACGGGTTTACTAGGTCCCATAAACATTGGAACTCTTCCAGAACGCATAGCAATCTGCTCTGGATATACATAGATAGTACCGTAGTAGGTGCCGTGTGTGACGAGTCGTTCTCGTCGAGTACGATGCGAGTTATCTTTGGTTGGATATAATGGATTTGCGGGGAAATACTCGACCAGTAACACCGATATCCTGGATCTGATCCCACCGCGGGACGAGAACGACGAACTTGTAAGTTTACCTATTTCAAGCAAGTCCGCTCTTTCTATTGGTGGCGACGAAGTGGTGCTATACTATTCTAGAGACGAAAACGCGTAGTATAGCGTCGTCGTTTCAAGATGATCGATCATGATTTTCTTAAATTGACCCTACAACAATTCTATTAACGACTTGTGTTCCGAATTCCGTAAGACTATACGATCGTCTATTCTCGTTCCAGCCTAGACTACACGGTTCCGCGGTATCGGTGACGGCCTAGAATATACTACCTTGACTAAGATATTAGGCAAAATGAATCGCATGCACGTCAAAATCGTTAGAGGGTTTCCTCTTGTCTAGGCGAGATGTATCTGTATAGTTCCAAAGGGTCGCAAGTCGAATCCCCTGTTAGCAAAATAGGAATCTAGGTAATAGTCGGTTCAGCTGTTACCAAAATGGAACCCGCCAGTCACACCTTGGCTAGAGCATATCGATCTACCGCTTATAGAAGTAGGTTGCAGTGCATCGAAATGCAGCGAAAGTAACGTGGAATGGCCGCAGGAGAGTAGCTCTATTACCGGACCATGTTCATGTGGTTAACAGATCTAACCACTAAGATCGATGATACTTAAAAAAGAAAAGGAAAACTCTTCACGAGAAGAATCCATTATTCAAAACTTCTGTTCAATTACACAGAATAATATGCTATTGTTGGGGTGGTGCTATATCTGATCCGGACTCTTCTGCGGCGGTAGTAGCAGAGTTAAATTAATACGGCTTGGCGTTTGCCTCCTTCGATCTCCAATGACTCTCGTCTTGTCGATAGCTTACGACATGCCCTATCGGGTAGATTGTTGATGAATAACTAATCACACCGTCTTCTGCAGCAGTTGATTCTTTACATGTAGGGGCCGTATGGTATGCAGACTATGATACACAACCTGACGAGTAGGTAGCCTACCTAGTAAGAAATCCAAATGAGCGAGGAAGGAGTTTAGATGGAACCAGGCACATGGAAGGGATTCTCGATTCGGAAATCAGCTTGGTGCATTGGCAACGATTTTACGAACGCAGCTGTCAGCCAGCAGATAACTCACCCCCGGAGTCACGCCCCGCAAAGCCGGATAATGAGAGATGTCGAGTGAAGCGAGCGAGGCAAGAATCGATCATTCTTGACGAGCCTCAACACGATGGGATCGTGATAGCTGACGCCTCTAGTAAGCCATATGTCACTTCCATAACGGCTCATTATCCTAGTTGGGTGATGGTGAGGTGCTGGTCGAGTTGTCTAAACAAGTAGACCCATTCTAAGAAACGACTAAACTCCTGATTCCATTCTCGCTATTGAATTATACCGAAACATCATCGTATCGCTTAAAGATGCTGGGCAGGTACTGATGTCTTACTACCTACGCGTAGTAAACCTCGGCATGCTGGTTTTATCAACAATGCTAAGGACCTGGTCAGACTGGCCAGACTGGATCAGACATCTTTCTCCGGGGGAATTGCAGATCCTCGTGAGTTTTTGCCAACCGTAGTGTAGTTGGGCAATTTTAGCTTGCCCCAGATCTGGGGAATTGGGGGCTAATTTGAGAGTTAGTTAGTTGACCTTACGGGTCCTAAGACCCGAAGGATTTGCAAATTTTGGGTTCCTCGGACCGCCATTTGAGAATCTCAGAAGAAACCATTAGTTGTGCTCGCTTCCATATCATCTTACAGTTAGTAAGTCGCCGAATTGACGCCTCAAAACACGCCGCATCCATACCATATTTCGAAAAGGATTAATCATTCGACACGATGCTAGGTATGTACGCTAATACTGGGTAAACATTGTTAGGTCCTCAGCTTGCCCAGGTCGATCAGGTGCAAGTTCTAGGCCGGTGGATCGTGGTGGGTTATTTAGCAATGTAGCCATTTAGCCTAAATGCGGCAAAAATGCCTGGTCAGAAATTGACTAGGGACCCCATGCAGAAGTTTGCAGGAGGGGTGGGATATTTTGGGGCGGATGCTTCCGAGGCAACGTGTGCTTGGCCATGTGCGTGGGATCGTGCAGTTCTCAGAACTGTGTCTCATCCTGACTTCTCCTGACTTTTTGTCAGTTCTATCATCCAGTCCGATGGGCGCATTGAACATGATTAAAATGTCTCACGGATGAGGATGCCGTAGGAACAACTAGACGACCGTTGACAAGCTTCGACTCGGTCTTAAGTTTCTAATAGACGTATTCGCTACCGAGTATCGTAGAGTCCTAAGCTAACATCTACGTCAGAGCCGCCACGATGCAAGGGAAATGCTACCAGAATATCATATGTTGGCTGTCATTACGAACCCACCAGTATTCCGACCATCGAAAGCGTTATAAACAGCAACCCGTAGCCAGTGTCCAGAAAATGGGTTGCCACGTAGTTCATCCTACTTTATAGGTATTTCATGGATTTCGACATTGCGCGATGCGGAAACCCGGGTGAACCTGCCAGACACATCGGCCGTATCGAAGAGGCTCTGTACGATGCCAAACACAACACACCAACCGTCCAATAAATACCTGGTAAGTACTCTGCCAGGGACGGATATTTAGATGGTCGCGGCGAGACAGAGCTGAACTAAGCCAATATGGCTGATTGGACGCCTTGCCAAGCAGCATATGCAATGACCTTGTTCCAATACTCTGATGAGGCTATTTCGTAGATTGATTGCATCGATCGAGCCGCGTAAGTTCCTCGGTTATGAGATCGAAGCGCATTCAGCCTGACCAACGACATATATCCGCCGAGAGTCTACCGCCCACTGTACGCGTTGCCTAACGATGGAAATCTGCTGACCACATAATTCTCTCACTCTCACTCTCACGGTTCGCACGATTGCGAAATTTAAATAGACCGAGAAATTATACCGAGGAGTGGATTCTTGTTTATTCCTATCTTCGTAACGCCGTCCAATGCATCAAATGCATCATGCCTTCAGAGGGTATTTTCATCCTCTATCCGATCCTGAACGCCGGTTTGCTATAATTCAGTCGAGCCCTTATATACAAACCCGTGAATTTTCCCGAGAGGGATTATCCACGAATATGTCTCCCACGTGTTCTACCTCTATCCTTAAACCTGAAATCCGAATCCGGCCATGCATGTTCGATACTCATCGATGGTCGTCTTGCAATCGGAGGTGGGATCGGCTGCTTTCGAGAAAAGCATGCATTCGTCGCGCTTAGACTTCTCGTCCTTGCAAACACAGCAAGGCTGTTCATGAGCATGAGTTAGCAATAAACGCTACTAGATATCGATATTGGAATGTATTATATATATACCTTAGGCTTTGTCACAGCGCGCGCATCGGAGCCGGAACTCGCGGCAGATTTGGCCTCGGGCTTCGTGGAAATCCAGGCTACATTGATTTAGTAAAGACGAGACAAAAATACGACTTGAATGTTGTCTCACGTATAGAAACACCTAGCCAAGCCATTTCAATAGCGTTGAAGGTTTGGGCGGATGTATTGCGATATATGTAAAGTGGTGAAGTTTTTTGTCGCAACTCAGGAATCTGTTCGTAGAATTATTAATCGACAAAATGATCATCAAAAAAAGATCGGACGAGGGACCTTAGTATGACGTGATTTGTCAGTAACAGTGCATTTGCCTAGGTTACGATAAGCTACCGCCTGCACGGCCACACGTGTTATCTAAAGACCGAAACCATGTGGCGCCCCGCAAGCTCCGAACTTTCAAGGTTGTACGCTGTAGAGCCACACAAACAAGGTTTGTTTCCAAAGGTCCCGGCAACACGGGTGACTGCTTAGATAATAATTTTAACCATTTTTAGTTCGATTTTCTATCGCAAACAAACGACCAAAAGTTCCATGATTCCTATTTTGGACAAAACAAAAAGGAACTTGAGCCCTGGATTGGCTAAAACGCCGTCTCTCATTACCGAGAATCAAGCAAATTGATCTAAATTGACCTACTATATTAATGACTAATTGGGTCTATTTCAAACGCCATGCTCATCCATACGGATTATTTCCAACTCATTATCGTCATCCTCTGCTAAGACCACCCATAGCATCATCGGTTCCGATGGTGTTGGTTTCGAAGCTTGGCTGATGCCAATCGCGTCTAAGTCAATATATGTCGAGAAGTTTCGTTGTGATTAAATCAAGGCACCTCGGTTGTCCTTTTGAAACAACAAGCGAGAATACCTAACAAGTGGTTTGACTGATGACTCTGATAGGTCCTGTTCATAATAGATTCATCAAGTTTGGCCCTTAAGAATTCTTAGCGTCAACTACAATCTTAATCTACGTGTTAGCTGGAATAGCTGAATCAGCCTCAATGGCTAACACTGACATAGTTGGGATCCGCATGAAGCGTTGTGGGGACGGTGACAGGGCATGCGATAGTCGAATCCAAAGAACATTGCATCCACATCAGACTACCGTCTACCGTCTTTTTCACTTCAAAAGACCATTCCTTCTAACTTCTAGAAGTTATGGGTCGTTCTTTCTTAGTTTCCGTACCATGTTCGTATATAAACTGTCGAGGTTGCTCGAGTAGTAGCGAAGTAACCTTGGAATTGTCGTTGGTATCAATTCTACATTTCTCCTATACTTCTAATATCTAATACATACCTTCAACTGTCCCCCTTTACTGCTTTGTCAACGACAGTGTCTAGAAATCACTTATACGACGAATCGAACATGCCTACGAGCATTCGCAATGCGGTACTAACCGCACTCTCAGTGTTACCAGCGGTCCGATCCGCTGCGCATATTCCTGTAAGGGGCGGTGATACGGCAGCTCCTGTGTTACGTTCTCAGCAAGATACTTGCAACCAACTCAAACAGGCCTTGACTGGCGCCAACGCTACCGTATTCCCCTCGGATGGAGCAACATATGAAGATTTCGAAGACGAGAACTAGTGAGTTGTCCTGTATAGGTACAAATAGACTTGCAAAGTTTACAATTAACCATATTCCACTTCAAGTTCCGCGGCATGTAGACTACCAGCTGCTTGTATTGTCAGCCCCAAGAACACACAAGAGGTCTCTACGGTGGTAAAGATCCTTTCTCAGACGCAGACAAAGTTCGCTATCAGAAGCGGTGGCCACAATTACATACCAGGCTTCGCCAGTGTTAACGAATCGGGAGTGTTGGTTTCTCTCTCGAATTTGAACACCACCGTTTTATCAACAGACAAGAAAAGCGCCAAAATTGGCCCCGGAAATAGATGGCTGGCTGTCTACCAAGCTTTGGTACCCCAAGGGGTAACCGTCGTCGGAGGGCGTGTCGGCCCTGTCGGAGTTGGCGGATTGATGCTTGGGGGTGGACTAAGTTACTTCGCAACCCAACGGGGTCTTGCCCTCGACAATGTCAAATCGTATGAGGTAGTCCTCGCCAATGGCTCAATCGTCACTGCAACCGCCACCAATCAGTACTCGGACCTGTATAAGGGACTACGAGGTGGCGGTTCCAACTTCGGTATTGTCACCAACTACGAACTCTACACATATCCTGTTGGACAATTTTCCGTCGATGCTCGAGCGTACAGTACGAACCAGACCGATGCTTTCCTACGCGCCGTGGCTGAATATCAGCAAGAGGGACAATTGGATCCCTTATCAAGCGTTAGTGGTATGTATACCCGTGAAAATCATTATTTTTGCTATCAATGGAAGCTAACATAATTGTAGTATGTCGCATCATACTTTATATTACAACCCCCTTTTAGAGTTCGAAAAAAAATACTTGAAATACTAACATATATCAGATCCAATTACTTGCGACCGGCCCGACGATTATGCTTCTATATAACGAAGCGGTACAATCGGCCAAGGCATTTGATGCCTTTTATAACCTCGGATCATACACACCAATCGCGGCATTCAACGGCTCACTTCTAGATATCATGGCTCTGACTGGATCCCGATTTTCGACCGGAAATATCAGCACTTACGGCGAGACATTCACCCACAAAGTCGACGCCGACCTAAACATCGACTTGTATAACATCTTCGTCGAAGAGATTGCCAACCTCCCCACCGGTGCTTCAGGGGTCTGGGTACCAAACCCAATTGCTGCCAGTGTAGCTACTGTTGGGAAACAGTACGGAGGAAACTTGCTTGGTCTGCAGGAGGTCCCGCAACAATGTTCGTTTATCCTTTGACATGCCTATTAAGTATTATTACTAACAATTTGCTCTTCATAGGGTACGAATGGTTCATTACATGGACAGATTCAACCCAAGAACAGACTATCCGTGATATATCCCAACGAATCACTCAGCGATGCACCGCTGCCACCGAAGCGAAAGACGCTGACTTGCCATACCTATTCACGAACACAGCTGGCATAAAACAGAACGTGCTCAGTAGCTTCGGTGCGGATAACGTCAACACCATAAAAGCGATAGCGGCGAAATACGACCCGGGTCAGGTGTTCCAGAAACTACAGAACGACGGATTCCTCATCCGAAAGTTATAAGAGACGGATCGGATATTTTTCTTATTTATTTTTGCTTTGTTTTACGTACCCGGGTATTATAAGGGCGGCAGGTATAGACTGAAGGGCTTCAGTGCGGATGATACCCAAGGGAGAGTTACTGTAATAAATAATTACCAACCTACCTATTTATAAAGATTAGGTATAACTCAATATTGAACCCTTTTTATTATATGATCGTCAGACCTGTGAAGGCTGTGGTAAGAAGAATGGGTCTTATATGCCGTCAGATCTTCGCAGACAGATCGCAACAAGACGCCTAAAGGGGCAATTACCTATGCTTCCAGTAGCTGTGATTTGATAGTTGATTCAACCAGCCTTATTTAAAAGAAATTGCAGGTCTTGAAGACTACTTAAGCACCTACCCTCTCCCATGTTTTATACTACTAGTTATACAATTACGATAGAATGAGGTCGATTGAAGAAATTCGGGCTCTTTCGACGATCGATCCTGAATTAGATCAGGTAGGTTTATAATCATAGCCTAAGTATTCACTCGTACATACAATAACAATTCACCCTGTATGACCAGTTACTCAGAAACGGTCTTGTACTGCCCCCATCATGGAATAAAGACACGGACATATACGAAATCCGCGCTCTGCTATCCCAAATAGCAGAAACAGAGAAAGGTCAACTAGACACTCGTATCGAGGAGAAAGACCTACAAGTCCCTACAAGGGATAATGGGTGTATTAAGGTTCGAGTGTATCGTCTGAAAGAATGGGCTGCGGATTGGGGCGGTCGTCCGGGAATATTGATGCTTCACGGCGGCGGGTATAGCGTTGGCGATTTGAATACCGGTGCTCGGCTAAGCCGCGCGTTCGCAGACCTAGGTGGTATTTCCGTGAACGTCGAGTTTCGGCTGGCGCCCGAACATCCGTTCCCGGGGCCGGTTGAGGATGCGTATGATGCTCTGGCTTGGGTGAGTGTCCTTTTTTTCTGGGATAAGCACCTACATAGATTTCGATATATTGGAAGACGAATGTGGAATAAGACCGGAAGAATGGTAACGGATAGACAACATGAGACAATTAACGAGTATTTCATACAACAGGTTTCAGAGAATCTCGAAAGCCTTAGAATCGACCCAGCAAAAGGGTTTATAGTTGCAGGCGAGAGCTCTGGAGCGAGCATGGCCCTCGCAGTGGCGTATCTCTGGGTAACGCAAAAAAAGGGCGCCACCTTGCAAATCACAGGCATATACAGCAGTGCTAACTCAGCAGCGAGCGCAGAGACGGTGCCTGAAAAGTACAGGTCCTTTTTCTTGAGTATGGAACAGAATGCCCACGCTCCTGTGTTGGATATTGCCGCCATTGAGCGTATCAACGGTAGGGACACCGTACTATAAAATCTCTACCAAGTAGGATTCCTATGCTAAACGAAGTTTGTAGAGCTCTACAAGCCGGTCCCAAACAACCCCATCGCATATCCGATAGCCATTGCCGATCCCTCAATCATGCCTCGGACTTACTTCCAGGCGTGTGGCTTAGACCCTACGAGGGACTGTACTTTGGTTATGGAGCAAGTCTGGAAGGACTCCGGTGTCCAGACGAAAATCGATATTTACCCAGGCATGCCTCATATATTCTGGGCCTTGGGACTTCCTATGCTGGAACAGATCAAGAAGCATGAGGCGGATACTCGGGATGGGCTCTTGTGGCTGCTGAGTTGAAAGGCGAAATGATGGCCCGGTAGATTGACAGACTTGTCAAAGCTGAATAATCTAGTCCCCATTCTATTAATTGGTCGCAAGCCATTCTTTTTCTATTTGATTTCTTTGATATTTGCCCCATCTGACAGTTGTAGTAGGCAGCCATATGTCGGGGCGATCCATGGATGTCATTGCTTCACTCACTAAGAAATCCTAACCCTCATCCAACTCTCTCAGAATGAGATGGACGACTCTGCTCTCTTTCACATAACAATATTATAGTCTTCGAATAGAGGGAAATGAAAAAGACGACAAGAGAAAATAATATAAAGCTTCTTATTTCTTTACTTGAGTTATAACTTCCAATAAAGCAATTGTATACCATGTTTAATCGCATATTAATACCGTTTCCCCTCCTACCCCGCCAACCCCACCAAAACATTATTCATACCGCGATTTGGACGATTGCATTACCTAAATAAATATGAATTAGCAGCTTCGATCTAGGCAACGAAATAACGAATCCTCTATAAGACCAAGAGAAGTTCGTCTGTTAACTCTCAAACCTTCTTGTCATACTCCCATCGCCGTCAAAAGAATACCAACACACACAGGATACACAGCAACGATGCCGGCCCCATCCCCCCTTACCATCGCGACGCAATCCGTCCAACGCCTCGTCAAGGAGGAAAAGTACTACCGAAAGGAACTCGAGCAGCAGAACGAGCGTCTCAAGAGGCTCGAGACAGAGCTTAAAGCTGCGGGCGAAGGCGCGGACGGTAATGCCGGGTTCGTGCTAAAGCAAGAGGTGTGTTAATTTCTCCTCCCCCTTCTCTTTCCTATCACCCCCTTTTCATATAACCATATAAAATCATACTAACTTTACTCCACTACAGCAAAAAGCCAGAGATGAAACCAAAGCCGTATTCGCGCCTCTAAACGAGCGTATCGTCGAAGCCGTCCAACGACTCGAGGAGCAGATCGCAGCAGCCGAGAGCGAGGAGGGATCTCCCGAGGAAATCAAGAAGGCGAACGAAGCTTTGGAGCTAGGGAAATCCGTAGAAGAGCCTCCTGCCGCATAAGTTGCCCATCTACCTAGTAACTAAGGCTAGGTAGGGGGTGTTCGTGTAGGATTACGAAGAGGAGTCTTATGAGTTAATACAATGATACCACATTTACCACAACCCGAAAATTAAAGCATTGATTTTAAGAAAAGACGTTTACTAGGTAGAAGAACCATGGCAGAGATTCGTGAATGAGCCTTTCCTCGTTATTACCGTGCCTATCTGTGTAGACGACTTCGTTCTGCTGCTATGTTGGGTATAACAATTCCTATCCGCATGCTAGACTCTGTAGCTCAGTGGCAACGAATCTCTAAAGCAAATCCTGCGATCTTCGCCATGAACAAAGACCCCATAGAACCCACGCCTAGACTCCCTTCACCACCCCTTCCGCGTATCCCTCACGAGGTATCCATACCATCAGGCGCCTCCACCGTAATCTGCGGCGTCTCCTGGGACTCGTTCTCCGCCATCGGCGTATCGCCCTGTAACTGGTTCTGCTGCGTGCCAGACTCACTCATCTCGATATCCTCGCCCTCCTCAGGCTCATCGTCTCTCGGCTGCTGGCTACCCGCGCGTAGACTCGGAGCCTGGCTTCCAGCTCGTGAAAAGTCTCCACTATCGCCCAATCTCGGCTTCAAGCCACTCCCAGCACCCACCGCAGCCGACGCGCCACCCGGGCTATCAGGTCTCGGCGTTCTGCCATCGCGACTACTCAGAAGAGGCGTAGCACCGCCCGCGTCGCCCTTAGCAGACACAGCACCGCTATCCGGCCTCGGCGTCGCATTCCCACTAACCAACCCCGCCTTGCCCGGCGTAACCGCGGCCTCCCCATCCTCCGCATCCGAATCCATGCCCTCCCTACGTTCCACCTCCTCCTTCTCATCGCGAATCAGCGCGCGTAACCTCTTCCCCTCCTCCACCAGCCTCTCAAACTGCTCTCGTCTCTCCCGCCACGTATGTCCGTAATTCTCGCTCTCGCGGTACAGCTCATCGCACTCCTCGGCCAGCTTGGCCAGGTTGACAGCCTGTTCCGCGCGCGGGCGCAGCATGCGGTTACTCGTGATTTTGTCGGCCAGCTCGTCGAATTTCCGGCGCTGGGCGAGCGTCGCCCGCGCTTCTTCGAGCTGCGTTTTCAGCCGCGCGTTGCCGTCCCGCACGGACTCCATCGTCGACATGATGCGCACCCGGTCCGCGGCGTACCGCTCGCGCTCTTGCGTGTTGGCTGTGTCGAGGAATTGCAGGCGTAGGATTTGCGCGTCGAAGGCTTCGAAGTCGAGGGTTATGTCTTCTTTGAGCGAGGTGATGTCGATTGCGGGAGTGGCTTCGGCGTCGGGGTTGGTGCTGTCCGGGGGAGGAGTGAGGAGTTTGGCTGGGCTGGTGAAGGCGCTGGGGTGCACGAGGCGGCGGATGAGCCGTTTGAATGATTTCTCCTCGACGTTAAGGAGGCGGGTTTTGTGCAGCTCGTTTTCCTCTCGCTCCTCTAGGAGCCCGAAATGTTGGGACGCCATGGATTGATGAGGTTATATTGCTACGTTTTTAGAGATAAAAAGGTGTGGAAATGGTGGATGTTGTTTGGAATTTAGAAGTTGAGTAGCTGTGTTTGTACGAAGTTTGAGATTGAACTGTGCAGCTGTTGAGGTTGGAAATGGAAATTGGTTAAACGCGGTTGGCTTATCGATAATATTTTTATCGATAGTCCTCTCAATGGAAAAGCCGCAGTAAATGCATAACTTCATTTTTTGTATATCTATACTCATTATGCCAATATCATCCTATCCGTCAAAACCCATCTCTCCTTTAATCATTCTCCTATCTATAGATGTATTTGTTATTGAGCAGATTCCTTCATGAAACATTACTATGCTTCTTAGTACATGATCATGTTTGCTGTTAAGAAGAATATGACTCACAAACAGCCCCTTATTTTGAATTGTCTATCATAACTTTGTACAGCCAAGACACATCCTGCGCTTGCTATATACCATAGATCTAAAGCGTACAACTAATGATCATTAATCATGCCTTAACTAAATTCCTCGCTCTCCGCCTTTCATCCTCGTTGAGTACCCATTGGATACTGTCTTCCCCATCGTCACTGCTTAATTCTTCCCATTCCTCTTCCTCCATGTTGGCGACCATAAGAATTTGGGTCACCTTCGCAAACATTTCCCTAACAGACCAGTTCCCTCTAGAGACGGTACTGATGATACCCGAGAAATCCCGGTCCATGCGTATTGCACCATACGCGCTCGTTTTCCCACTGTAACTCCAAACCCTTTTCTCGAGCGTCTTAGCCAGATCTGTAGCCGTGAGGTCCACAAGCGCAGTAAACGTTTTAGGAGTCATTAGTCGTGCGATAGGTTTCATTAGAGCATCCCATCCACGTTCGAATCTCCGTTGGACGCGATCTATCATCTCGTCTTCGTCTTCATCATTCTGGCGGGCGATTTCGGCCAGTTCGTCTTCGGAGCGCCAATAATCCGCATCGCGGAAGGCTTCCACGAGAACAGGCTTTAGCCTTTGCTTGACAACAAAGGTAAAAAGAACCTTCAAGGCATCGGATATCAATTCGCTAGTCTTAATAGCAAATGTGGAATTTAATGCGTTGAGGGTTGAGGTTACAAATGTGACGTCGTGTTCGAATGGAAATTTTGTTGCTAAGGGGTTAGAGTGGGATGTCCCATCCGGTTGATCGGGAGAAGTGCCCAGTTGTGATGCGATGATGCGAGCTAGGTAATCTTTTGCCACATCCAAGCTATTGATGAGCACAATAAAAGCAATAATTTTGTTCTCAGGTGGAAGACCTCCTTGGACTGTGGGCTGGGGATAGGATTCATCCCGCATCCTCCGCTGTACCATTCCAATAAAATCAGACCCTAATACTCTTCCGACATCCGGAATAACCGAGGCTGCTACGTCGCGTTGCGATGTTGATATGGCCTTTTGGGTTATGGTACTGACGATATACATGATATCATCAACAGCTGAGATTATGTAAGGGGCATTTCCGTCAATAGACTTGTTGATGTTGAGTGACAGGCCGCTGGGTGATTCGTCGAGTTGGAACGCTTTTTCGACGGATCTTCTGAAAAAGAACATGGCCAAAGAATTGTATGGTGATGTTAGCTTCCCTGAAATCTTCCGACCAAGATTGGATTTTGTGACGACTTCTGGAATTGACAGAGGAGCATCATCAGGGGTATCTGGGTCCTAAAAGAATGTTGAAAATTAGTGGGTGGCGTTTCGAAAAAGACCCGAAGGTAAATTACCTTGCATTTCCCAGCAAGGAATCTCGAGTACAATGCCCAACGGCCAAGCATGACAGAGATCTCGCTAAGTAGACTGTCCACTTCTTTCATATCAACACCTTCGTCTTCGCTATTCCGTGCGTTGGTTCCACCACCTAGCGCTGGCGAATTCACACGTGGTGTACCTGTAAGTGTCCTCTGCGGTGGGAGGAAGCTCTGTACTAAGAAAGAGAACGGGTAACTCTTTGCATCAGTAAGTTTCCTGTCGATGCCTCTCTCGTCACTCCATGAATCCAAAATGATGCCGCCTTGTACATCAGCCTCCATCTGGAGTCTCTCTATGACCTTGACCATCTTTCCCTCGCCATAATGCCTCTCTACAAGACCGCCGTGGCTCTCAACGATCTGGGCAATATGCTCAAATAGCTTGGTGAGCGCGTTGGCGTAGAAGAACCCATCTTTCTTTCCAGCATCTCCAGGTGCTGCCCGGAGAGTCGCCCTAGCCGTACCAGCAACGCCCTGACATACATATCGCCCATATACATCTAAACCAACATCACCTCTCCCTATCAAAGGAAACAGTTTGAAAAATCTTGTAACCTTAGCGCCGTCGCCGTCTTTAGCAGCCTTTTCGAATTCCCGTAGAAACAATCCGCATAAGCTTTCTTTCGCATTCTCAAGCGTTACCCAGGGCGCATCTGGCACTTCGACACTCGGGACCATAGAGGCCGCAAAACCACCGCGTATGATTGGTTCAGGCACCTTGCTTGCGCGAGAAATATACCCAGCCGCTGCCTCCCAATCCTGCGGCGCACCCATGCTGCCAACAACGCCATGGACACAAGCTTTGAGCTCTGCAACTTGCTCGACAACTCTCAAAGTTTGCTGCACTCTGTCCTTTTCCAAATCGAGATCCTTGACCCGGCTAGAAAGTCGGCCTGCAGTGTCGGCAGCTGAGGACAGCATGCCATTGCTGATAGATCTTGTTGCAATAACTTGGGAGCCGAGGTTCGCACGAAGTAGATCGAGCCGTCCTAACTCTCGAGATAGGTCTGCTTGGGAGGAGAGGAGCGCATTGAGACGATTTGTTACGCTGGTCTCTCGGACGTGTAGGGCAGCCAATGCGGCGCGGACGTCGGAAAGCGTTGAGGCATCGTGAATGGAGGGACCTGAACCAGATGTCGAGTTGGGGTTCAGCTTATTAGAGGGTTTCTGCGTTGTTGGCCCCGAGGAGTTGCCATTGGGGATATTGTTGGCGGACATTGGGACATCGATTGTGGGAGGCGCATAGCGAGCGACGTATGTAAGATGTCGAGCCTAGCCTGAAGTTGTAAAGTGTGGGCTGAAGTTGGTCAGTTCGTCCAACCAACAGCGATCCATCGATCATTTTACACCCCGCTAAACGGTACAAAATTGATAGGGCTTAGCGATGTAGTAGCAGAGTTTAACCACTAAATTTAAGCCAGTTAGGTCCTAAATCCCCTGAACTAAGGTTAATTACAGCGATCTGCTATGCAGTATTTAAGGTTCGGAATATGGATATTAGGTACATCAACCTTAATCGATAAGCTTGCTGTAATTTTTAGTTTGCGACCTATATCGTCATCGCTGTCGCCCGTAGATTCTTCCAACATTATGAGTCACTTTTCAATGTCGATTTTTATACTCATACCTGACCAATAGGTCTATAGAAAAATTTAGAATATTTTGAGATCTTTCAATAAATCCACTCAAGCAGTCGTATCTAGCACCAGCAAAATCTTATACGATCTTATACAAACAAGCAAATTGGCGCCTAAGATCTCGGGTCTAAGATTGAAAACTGTTCGAGCTGCTTTTCACTCTTACAGCACGATGTCTCAGGATCTCCCAAGAGTGAGCACCCGTGTCCTTAAGATACCAGAAAGGGATTTGGGAAAATTTAAGGAAAATGAGGGCTATGAAAAATTAAAATCATGGGAAGTCTCTCAAACCCAATCATCCAGTCTGGAAATTCTTCATGAGGCTGCGGAATATCTTAGGACCAAGGATACGCCCGTTGCGTTCCCAACTGAAACCGTCTATGGACTTGGAGCTGATGCAACGCGAAGTTGTGCGGTTAGGGGTATATATACTGCGAAGAGAAGACCAGCAGATAACCCCCTAATTATTCACATCTCGGATCTGGACATGCTTCGAAATGTTCTAGTTCCTGTGAATACAACTAATGGTACAACCAACGGAACAGCGAATGGCACAATAAAGGGTACAACAGATACCGTTCATGACAGAATACCCGAGATATACAAACCTCTCATAGAAAGATTCTGGCCAGGACCCCTGACGATATTACTTCCCAATCCAACTCCATCCAAATTAGCCCCTGAAGTAACGGCTGGGCTCAAGACCTTTGGTGTTCGAATGCCAAAGTCACCTCTTGCTCTCTCACTTATCAAATTAACAGGCGCACCCCTGGCAGCACCATCAGCGAACGCCTCGACGAAGCCTTCGCCAACTACTGCTGAACATGTACTCGAGGATCTAGATGGTCGCATTGAACTAATACTCGATGGCGGTTCCTGCCATGTCGGAGTTGAGAGCACAGTAGTAGACGGTTTATGCGATCCCCCTTTAATCCTAAGACCGGGCGGAGTAAGCATAGATGAGTTACGCAGCTGTGCTGGATGGGAGAAAATCGAAAAGGGGTATAAAGACCAGAGCGAGCTAGGCAAGGCTGCGCCAAGAGCCCCAGGAATGAAATACAAACATTACAGTCCTAAGGCAAAGGTGGTTCTGTACGAGGCGACTTTCGCTGCAGCTAAGGACGGTGTTCAGGCCGAGGATTTCGAAGCGTTCGTACAGGATCGACAATCACAACAAGACTTACGTGTCGGCATAATACGAACTCGATATTGGAAGCCTGCTGCCGGACTGCGTTGCGGCGACTTTGAAAAGCGGGAGACGGTGAAGACGGAGACTACTCAAGAGAGTCAAGACACATCTGAGCTTGATGTTCAAGAAACAGCACTTTATGATACCACGAGTGGAGCTTCTATCGGAAAGCTCATGGATATAAGCATTGGGGCGGACACTAGAAGCATAGCGCAAGGACTCTTTTCGGCGCTACGGGAACTGGATAGACGGGGTGCGGATATCATATTTGTAGAGGGTACAGTAGACGACGAAGATATCGGCGCGGCGGTCATGAACCGGCTGCGCAAGGCAGCTACTCGGATTAGGTCGTAGATCATAGCCGATATGACCACGCCGCCCATCTCAATGCCAACAATTCGTTAAGAATAGAATAACGACTTTTTACCAACGCCATGCCAGAGTCTACGTTTAAGGCCATCTCATAATCTTCATATGAACTGCGGTGTCTCACAATCCTTGTCTCAACCAATCTGTCAACTTCGCCTTTCCTAATTGCGCCAGGTTGTTCACTCCTTGTTCGCTAAGGTCGATGCGGCTGAGGTTAACATCTTGCGTCGGCGCCTTGCTGACTCTTTGTACGATGATTGTCGGGTCGGTCTCTAAGATGATGCCATCGTCTACAATCTCGTCGATAGCCAATGAAACCAAGTCATAGTTTTCGATAATCGTTCGCTTATCAACCGATTGCCTTGCGCTTAGTTAGCTTTACGTCCGATTGAATCACTCGACTAGTCAACGTACTTAAATAGTAGGTGTAGCGAGTCTCGTAGTGCTAGAATGACGTTGTATAGGAGGACCTCGTTCTCGTCCACGCCACCCACGACGTACATCATCACGTCGGACTCCATCTTGTACAGAACGATCCGGTTGTCATAGAGGATGATGTCACCGGTCTGCTTTGCCGTCTTCTCGAGTAGACCCTTCTCGAACGTCTTCTGCGACTTCACATCTGCGAACGGCCCGCTAGGTTGGTGGTGAGGAGTTGAAGCTATAGTAGGTACTTGTCAGCGGCTGCCACACTACGATTTCACAACGTTGAGAAGGGATCGAGCATACAAGCTGTGGGCGCATGGTGGGGAGAGTTGTAGTATTTCGCGAATATCCGGGAACCATCATCGACGTTGAGAATGATGATGGCATTCACCGAGGATAAGGACATCCCGGGTGCCATTTTGAAGGTCTAGATACGTAATAGGTTATAGGTAGAGAATAGCTGTGGTAATGCGGATTTCAGGGACGTTGTCTAGTAATTGTCTATAATACCAAAGTTAATTTCAAGCACCAATGCTAGCATAGAAGTTCAAGGTGTAAGGTACATCGAGTTCATGTGGCATTTGGCCAGAGTGGGTCCACGGATCCAGATGAGATGGATAAATTGTTTTAGCGGAACCGTTGCTGCATGGTTAAGGGTCCCGCGCTAGCTGTGCACTAATCAGCATAATATTATGCTATGTGCACAAAGGTAAATAAAGCAATTAAGTGGTTGCATAATTTCCACTTTACGCGAAAAGACGCGCTAACCCCCTTTCGACGCGTCCCCGTTTTACGCGATTTCCTCTAGGGCGGTATATCGGTATCCCACTTTCCTGGCTTGATCTTCCCCGTCACCCACTTTCTTTTCAAGTCAACTCCCATTCCGTAACCAGAATTAATCTCGACATCGCATTTGACCATATCATAGTCAAGATGTCGTCGCCTTCTTCTCGCCGTACGCGAGGGTCGCAAGCCGGTACTCCACGTCGGAGTGCACGAAATTCTCAAGTCCCCCAAAGCAGTCCCGCCAACGGGGGGGCGTCACAAAATGGATCGCAGAGTGGGAATAATCTACAACCCAATCCTCCGTCTCAATTAGCATCAAGCCCTCTGTTTTACCAGTCGTCCCCGGCTCCTAGAAATGACAGGAGTTCGCCTGCCATACGCCATAACACGAACAGCCAGAGCACAAACGCCAACTCCGGCGCAGCGCCTAGTTCGCCGCTACGCCGCATGGACAGCGATGGTGAACGTACACCAAGAGCAGCTAGATCACTTATGGGTGGTGAGAGCAGATTCACCAAAGAGAAGATATTACGTATATACTAACCAATGCCTCAGAATCCTCGCCCATTCGATACGAACCAAGTTCGAGTCCTGGACCTGGACGTAATTTGCACCCACAATCCGATCTTCGAAGCGAGAGCAGTAACTTATTCGTTGGGCCGTCTGACACCCCAAGGGCCAACAGGGTTAATCGAAGAGGTGACATCAACTCCGAGCTTTTCAGTAGTGCTGGTCGAGGAGGTAGCCGTGTCATTTTGGATGATGCTGGGCGCGTAGTCCGAGAGATCCATTCCGATGCAGCAACCTTTTCCAATTTAGACCCTAACACCTCCGATGCCAATGCTCTTGGTGGCCAGGATAATGCGACAATCTGGGGTACTACGGTCTCCATTGATGATACATACGCCGCTTTCAAGGATTTCTTACGGAATTTCACCAAGAAGTATCGCATGTGGGGTGAGGGAATGACTACGGAGCAGACCGATGCTGAACCTGACTCTACAGCCAAACCATACTGGGAAGAACTGAATAACATGCTCATACTTGGCCAACGAATTCTCTACGTTAATATCCAGGATTTCAAGCTATACCCGCCTACCAGGAAGATGTGGCACCAAATTCAACACTACCCCCAGGAAATTGTGCCGCTTATGGACCAGTCTGTCCATGATATTATGATAGAGCTTGCACAGGCTGAAATGTCTAGGCAAAGAAGTCAGAGTACCGCGACAGCTGCAACCCCGCGTAATGGTGCTCCAAGCTCTGACATGCACTTCCCGAGCTCAGAGCGTGGCGATGAGCCTCAACCTTCGCAACAACGACCCCCACAAGGCCCTACTCTAGAAGAAAAGGTTATGGATCAGACTTATATGACTCGACCATATGGTCTCGATGAGGTCATAAATCTACGTGACCTTAACCCATCTGATATGGACAAGCTCATCTGTATCAAGGGTCTCGTCATCCGGACAACACCCGTTATCCCCGATATGAAGCAGGCTTTTTTCCGATGCAGTGTCTGCAGCCACTCTCTTCTAGTTGGCCTTGATAGAGGCAAGATTCGTGAGCCCACCGAATGTCCGCGCTATCTATGCGACTCCAAGAACTCCATGCAAATCATTCATAATAGGTGTGAGTTCGAGGACAAGCAAGTCATCAAATTACAGGAAACGCCTGATGCCGTACCCGCTGGTCAAACACCACACTCAGTGTCGGTCTGTGTCTATAATGAGCTGGTGGACTTCTGCAAAGCTGGTGATCGCATCAAGATTACAGGTATCTACCGTGTCAGTCCAGTTAGGGTCAATCCGCGTCAACGCTCAGTCAAGAGCGTATTCAAGACTTTCGTCGACGTTGTTCACGTCGCCAAAGTCGATAATAAACGAATGGATATGGATCCTTCCACTCTCGAGATTGAAATCGACGATGCGGAAAACAATATCGAAGAGACACGAAAGATTAGCCCCGAGGATGAAGAGAAGATCAAGGCTACCGCTGCTCGCCCAGATATTTATGAACTTCTTGCCCGATCACTAGCTCCATCTGTTTACGAGATGGACGACGTGAAGAAAGGCATACTTCTTCAAATGTTCGGAGGAACGAATAAGACCTTCGAGAAAGGTGGTAGCCCGAAATATCGAGGTGATATAAACGTCTTGCTCTGCGGTGATCCGTCGACATCGAAGTCTCAATTGCTCAAATATATTCACAAGATTGCCCCTCGTGGTGTATACACCAGTGGTAAAGGATCTTCTGCCGTTGGTCTTACTGCGTACGTCACTCGCGATCCCGAGACTCGACAACTAGTACTCGAGTCTGGTGCTTTGGTCTTGTCCGATGGTGGTATATGTTGCATTGACGAGTTCGACAAGATGTCTGACTCCACCCGCTCTGTTCTTCACGAAGTCATGGAACAGCAGACCGTTTCAGTAGCTAAAGCTGGTATTATCACGACGTTGAACGCCAGAACCAGCATTTTGGCATCAGCCAACCCAATTGGGTCTCGATACAACCCGGACCTACCCGTTCCACAAAACATTGATCTACCACCTACACTATTATCACGATTTGATCTCGTTTACTTAATCCTCGACCGCGTTAATGAGTCGATGGATCGCAAATTGGCTCGCCATCTACTTTCTATGTATCTTGAAGACAAGCCTCAATCCGCCCCGACCAACAACGAGATATTGGTAAGTTCATGAAACAAAACTTCTTTAAAATATTTCACTAACATAATTTTCAGCCCGTAGAATTTTTGACGTTGTATATCTCATATGCCCGTAATCACGTTCATCCAACCCTTTCTCAAGATGCCTCGCAAGCACTTGTTGAGGCATACGTCAAGATGCGCAAATTAGGACAAGATGTCCGCTCAGCTGAGAAACGTATTACCGCCACAACTCGTCAACTTGAGTCAATGATTCGTCTTGCTGAAGCACATGCTAAGATGAGACTATCCACGACAGTCACCAAAGGTGATGTTCTGGAGGCTGAACGACTTATTCAGTCGGCATTGAAGACTGCGGCTACAGACTCACAGGGCCGCATCGATATGAGTCTTCTCACAGAAGGTACTAGTGCCGCAGAAAGGAAACGCAAGACTGAGCTCAAGGAAGCCGTCTTGCAACTACTCAACGAGTTGACCAGCGGTGGACAGAATGTGCGATGGAGCGAGATCAGCAGGAAGCTAAACGAAGGTTCAAGTGTTCCAGTCGAGCCAGCGGACTTTGCCGAGGCAATGAGGGCTCTCGAGATGGAGGGTTCTGTTATGATCACTGGTGAGGGTGCCAGAAAGAGCGTGAGACGTGTTACGGGCGTCGCGTAATAGGACGAGAAGTTTACGAGAATCAGGTTTGGTTCCTGGACTAATGTATGGATTGTGGGGTTAACGTCATCGGGCAGATCGTCTATGCTGGCTGGCGTCTGAGATATGATGAAACGTTAAACTGGACATGAGCTACGGATGTGGGATGAGTTAACGATGGAGTGAATTAATAAAATGTTGAACATCTTTTCAAAATGAGTATCTCGTGGTGATTTGTATTACATACCATTTAGACATGGAGGCTGAGTTGCCTCATTTTTCCTTGGCAAGTTAACTCCCGAAGAGGTATATGCAACGACGCTCCTAAAAATATCAAACTCTACGTAACGTCACACGATCTTTAAACTCCAAGACTACACGAAGCGACCTAGTTTTTTTTCTGTTTATAGAAACCCAAAAAACAGCGTTTGTAAGAGCTCTCCAAATATTACACTATGCAAGACTCGCAGGCCGAGTCCAGTTTTGTCGACCTAGAGCAGCTGTCATTGGTGCGCAGTGACGTCAACCCTTCTCCTCACGTTTCAAAGAAATGGACCACGATACGCCGATATCGAAAGCGGGCGGTTCGTATACTGCAAGGTTTTGGCGATGATCTTCATAGATAGGGCGCTTGCTTTTTCTTTTTCCTCTCCTCTCCGCCATAGTCTACTTGCCAGGTACTCCAGGTAGGGTAGAGAGTATACACTCGTTTTTACCCGTCCCCTCCCTTTTTTTTCATAGGCTGCACGCTTAGGAGATACAGGAGATATATGTACATGATCGATTTGGTGTGCCACAATGGCGTACAACTCCAAAGACAACTACCCGCGCCCGGACTTCGTCCACGCGAATCATAGGTGGACGCCCATAAACGACGGCTGGTCCATCCTCTTCGACGACGCGGATGTCGGGCTAAGGGATCACTGGCACATCACCGGAGTCCCGGACAAAGTGTCCGTGGCGCCCAACGCCACTGACGCGGAGGCGCTCGCGCAGAAATTAGCTGCGTTTCCCGAACTCAAGGAGAAGGGCTTCCACACCGCCCCTAAACCCCGCGAGTACGCTAAGGCCCCTATCAACGTTCCCTTCACCTTCCAGACCCCCGCCTCAGGCATCAACGACAACGACGCCCACGAGGTCCTCTGGTACGAGCGCGGCGTCACGGACCCCCGCTCCGCCGCAGAGAAAGGGGCCGGAGACCGCGTGATCCTCCGGTTCGGCGCCGTCGACTACGACGTCACGCTCTGGACCGACGGGTACCCCATCGCGGCGCACCGCGGCGGCCACGTCCCGTTCGACGTAGATGTCTCGGATGCCCTGGTCAGGGGCGATGGCAAGTTCCGGCTTACGCTCAGAATCCGCGATTCCCCGCACGACCTCGCGCAGCCCCGCGGCAAACAGTACTGGGCCCCGCACCCCGAAAGCATCTTCTACACCCCGTCCAGCGGCATCTGGCAGCCCGTGTGGCTGGAGGTCCTGCCCGCGACGCGCATCGGGGATAGTTCGTCTGGCACGGTGTTGCGCGCGAATAATATCAAAGACGGGTTGCTGGAGGCACGGGTTATGGTGTTGGGACGACGCGCGGGGGGGAGGTATGCGGTTGAGATTGAGGGGAGCTTGCATGGGGTTAGGGTTGCGTGTAAGAGGGAGACGTTGCCCGGGGATAAGGATTATGTCTTTGTGAACTTGGGCTTGGAGCTGAGCGATGAGCAGAAGTCGAAGGCGGACCCGACGCTCGCGGAGGTCGCGCCGTATTATGATACCCATAGCTGGAGGGGAAATCTCGCGCTTTGGAGCCCTGATCATCCGACTTTGTATGATCTCTCGCTTAGACTGTTTGATGAGGAGGGGGCGCTGGTGGATGAGGTTAAGACGTATACCGGGTTTAGGAATCTGGACTGGAATAGGGGCGATCGGACGTTCCGGCTTAATGGTCGCCCGTTGTTCCAGGCGTTGGTTCTGGATCAGGGGTATTGGCCGGAAACCGGGATCACGCCGCCGTCGCCGGAGAGTTTGAAGAAGGATATAGAGCTCTCGAAGAAAATGGGGTTTAATGGATGTCGCAAGCACCAGAAGGTCGAGGATCCGGTGTTCTTGTATTGGGCTGATAGGTTGGGGTACCTGGTCTGGGGTGAGATTGCGAACGCGTATGAGTTTAATGAGGATTACGCGGAGAGGTTCACTCAGGAGTGGTTGGAGGCTGTGAAGAGGGATATCAATCACCCTTCGATCGTCACTTGGACGCCTGTTAATGGTATGTGAAATACGCTTGGTCTACGAGTAGGGATAGGGGCTAACTTGTTTACAGTACGTCGGCGAGTTTCCCGCCTCATACCCTGCTCCATCGAATCAGCATAGCAGCTAACGAGTAACAGGAGAGCTGGGCTTACCCTAACCTGAAAGACAACGTAGACCAGCGAAACCACATCCGCTCACTCTACTACCTTACCAAGTAAGAGCCAACCCACCGCTCATCATACCAAGAAATATACCCCTAACCCCTAATCACAGAACCCTAGACCCCACCCGCCCCGTCAGCGACAACTGCGGCTGGGAGCACGTCATCACAGACCTAAGCACCTTCCACGACTACTCCGACGCCCCGGACCTCTCCAAAACATGCTCCTCCCTCGAAGGCATCCTCGGCAAGAAACTCGGCGACCGCGATTTCTTCGTCGGTCCCACATCCACGCCGGACGGGAGGAAAGACGAGGGCACGAAGCACAGGGAAGGCGCGCCGGTGATCTGTTCCGAATTCGGCGGTGTGAACATCGCGCCGGCGAAGAAGGAGGAGGGCAGTGAGCGGGATTGGGGATACACGACTGCGAGCGATCCGAGGGATCTGCTGAAGCGGTTTGATAGGTTGCTTAGGGCGGTGGTGGAGGGGGGCCATATTTGTGGGATTGTTTATACGCAGTTGTGAGTTTTTGGTACTTTCTATTTTAAGGGGGTGGGGGTGAGGAATAGGGGTTAGTTGAGTGCTATGTGCTGATTACTAATATGTGGTTCCAGGTCCGACGTCGAGCAGGAAGTCAACGGCCTGTATTCATTCGATAGGAGGGAGAAAATCCCTGCTACGGAAGTTAGCAAGATCGTTGAGGAGGTGATCAAGGTGTACTATAATAGTCTGTCGAAGGGCGCGTGAGATATTCAAATACCCAGGATATATGCAGGTCTGGAGGCCAGGCTTTGTGGAGGGACATTCTCAAGGTTATTATGCAGGTAGGTAGGTTCGGGTTAGGTAGGTATTTCGGAGGATAACCGTATTTTATAAATTCTAGGAACATATTATTGGTTTGGCATCGAATTGGTGGTTATACGTGATGTTGTTGCGTGGTTAGCCCCTGGTAGTTGATACTTGGGTTTTGTATATCTAAAGCTCATGATTATAGTCGAATCTATCGTAGGGTTCAAGAGGAGTTCATAGTCCGGGTTTGTTCGGTTCTTGTTAATAGTAACTACCCTTATTTCAACGCTCAGATAGTGAGCACACTATGCCTTGAGTAAGACTGCATGTTCGTGATGCGACAATGAAGGCTGAATTTAAGTGTACAAAATCAGTATTAAATTAATATCAGACAAACGCCATAACTATTAACAACAGGAATTATCAAGGCGCTGTTCATATCACTTTATTTGTATATAATAAATCGCCTCCATGTATGCCATGTAAGTGTAGGTTGTCAATGACCGAAGTACAGTCCGAGCTTCTATTAACTGATTTATTTACACTGTCATCGGTTTACAGATAAGCAGATAACCGTTAAGTGGGGGCACAAGCTTAAATATGATGTGCAGGGATTCCTAGAGAATCTAGGTGGGGCGGAAAAATAACGCAGCGATCCAATGACGAGGACATTAATTGTAAGGTGCTATCCCAGAGTCCAGGGTATCATCGATTGATTAACCTCAAGTCTCTCAATCGCCACTCCAGACACCAATTTCCCAATTGGACTGAACACAACGGATATGGCGTCGCTATATCGCATTGCCGGCTGCGGCGCCAGGCGTCTGCGGCTCCCGAAGTCTGCGATACCAGCCATACGCGCATTTTCACAGTCCTCTCTGCGCAACGCCGAAGTTCCGGAATATCAACCTACCATTCTCAAGCCCATCGATCCCAACACCATCCAAGGTCTACCGAGAACAGAGGCCGAACGTGAGCCAGACGTCACACAGCGAAAGATGCGCCACTACACAGTCAACTTCGGTCCCCAGCATCCCGCCGCCCACGGCGTGTTGCGGTTGATTCTCGAGCTGAACGGAGAGGAGATCCTTCGAGCCGATCCCCACGTCGGCTTGTTACACAGAGGAACGGAGAAGTTGATCGAATACAAGACATATCTACAAGCACTACCTTACTTCGACCGATTAGACTACGTCTCCATGATGACGAACGAACAATGCTTCTCCCTCGCCGTCGAGAAGCTACTCAACGTAGAGATCCCCGAGCGGGCTAAGTGGATTCGAACATTGTTTGGAGAAATTACGCGAATTCTAAATCACCTTATGTCCGTCTTATCACACGCCATGGACGTCGGTGCTTTAACACCTTTCTTATGGGGTTTCGAGGAACGAGAGAAGTTGATGGTAAGTTAAATTCATCGATTAAACAGCGATTAGTAGCTACATGTCTATGTAATCCGCCATACACCATCATAAAAAAGCTAAAGCTAACATGGTCACCCCCCTTTGCTAGGAATTCTATGAACGTGTATCTGGTGCCCGTCTCCATTCAGCTTATGTTAGACCTGGTGGTGTTCACCAAGATATCCCGCTTGGTCTACTTGACGATATCTACCAATGGGCTACACAATTTGGCGACCGAATTGACGAAACCGAGGAGATGTTAACAGATAACCGTATCTGGCATCAAAGATTAAGGGGTATTGGTGTTGTTTCAGCTGAGGATGCCCTGAACCTTTCCTTCTCTGGTGTTATGTTAAGAGGATCCGGTATTCCTTGGGATATTCGTAAGAGTCAACCGTACGATGCGTATGACCAGGTTGAATTTGATGTCCCCGTGGGAATCAGGGGTGATTGCTACGACCGATACCTATGCCGAATGGAAGAGTTCCGTCAGTCTCTCCGAATTATCCACCAATGCCTCAACAAGATGCCAGCTGGTCCGGTCCGAGTTGAGGATTACAAGGTATCGCCACCTCCGCGAGCAGCCATGAAGGAGAATATGGAGGCTCTGATCCACCATTTCCTCCTGTACACCAAGGGTTATTCTGTGCCTCCCGGCGAGACTTATTCGGTAATTGAAGCACCAAAAGGAGAGATGGGTGTGTATTTGGTGAGCGACGGAAGCGAGAGACCATACCGTTGCTCGATCCGTGCCCCTGGTTTCGCGCACTTGGGTGGTTTCGACCACGTTTCCAGAGGACATTTACTTGCGGACGCGGTGGCGGTTATCGGTACAATGGATCTGGTGTTCGGTAAGTGAAATGCCTCTTAAATGTTCAAAGGGTGGAAATGAATACTAACCAATATGCGAATCTAGGCGAGGTAGACAGGTGATAGCCTTTCATAGGAGGCTAGGGTCCAAAAAGGGAATTGCTCGGTGCGAACCTTAGAATTCACTTTCATAAGCATCATGTATGATAGTCGTCGTTAAGGGGACAACGTACCTAAGGTAATGCATCGAGGCGCCATGGCGCCTTCAGTAAATATGATGAACATTGAAAATGCCGTGAGATATTTTTTTTCTTTCTTTTTTATGTCCTTTTGTGTGTTTTCGTGATGATTTCATTTTGCTCTCGGTATCTCTTTTTCATATTCGTCATTACAGGCTTGTTGCTGATCAAATGAGTAACGGTGCTAAATTCCTTTTTTCTCCTTTTTCTTTCCCCCTTTTATGGTAAGCTAGATGAGTGTTCACACTTTATCGTCTCCTTTTTCTATCGCCACCTATGTGTATTTATGACGTGAAAGTGCCTCCTTAGAAGGTGGCATGTCGATGATGACTGTGACGGATCTTCGGGTAGTGTAGCTCGCACGCTTCGAATGGGGGCATGTGGCTGTCGCCCTCGGGACCTGCGCCGATTGGTAGACCTACGATGGGGATGTCGTTCACGTCGTACGCGATTACTTGCATGTCGATTGGACGCGGAACAGACGTTCCGCCGCCCCGCATGTCGCCGTTGTTCTCGGGAGGGGCACAGGCCCAGCGTGCGGGCTCACCGAACGATGTCGGTTGGTGGCCGCGAGGGAGCATTGCTCTGTTGGGGTCAGGGGGCATGCTCCATTTCCACACGTCGACGTCGTAGGGGCTCTGTGTTGGAGCTGGGGCTGGGGGTAGGTGTGCAGGGGGAGGCATGGATGGGCTTGGCATGGGTGGGAAATGGTGGCTTATAGCCTGAGCCAGCTCCTCGTCGAAGTTCGCGTGGTAGGGGAATGAGGGTTGGTCGGTCACTTCGGCCGGGGTGGTGGTGGGCGCGGGGACGTAGCCGTCGCTGTGGAAGCCCGGTGTGCCGTAGTGTAGGTCATCACGACGGTGGGAGCTGCGGTCGCTGAAGAGAGGATCGGGGACCTCGTTGTACGGAGCGTTGAATTCGCTGGCGAAGGAAAAGCCGGGGAAAGTCTTGCTCAGATCGTCTTTAAGTTCCTCGGTTGTCGCTTCCTCGAGCAGGGGAATGTACTGCCCGGGGTACTTGGTGAAGGAGCAGCGGCAGTCGCATGTGCCGTTTTGGTGGCGCTCGCGGTGCTCCGTGATCCATTCTGAGCCGTATTGGCTCATCATGCGGGTCGCGATTTCTATCTTGTGGTCCGGTCCCTCTCTAGTTTCGTACATGGGAGGCACGCTCTGGTCGCTCGACGCTAGCGTTGTTGAGGAGGTAGCTGACCCGTCCCCGGCGTGGTGCTGGGGGTGGAAGTCGCTGTCGCTGTAATTCTGGGCGTGGTAGTTGCGATCGTCGCGCTCTTTCTGGCCGGTGACATCCTTTTCCTTTGCCTTGCCCTTTCCTTTGTCGGTCGTGGCGTGTCCGCGCGGCTCACGGTTAACGACACCACCGCCAGAACGGCCGACAGGAGGGATGCTAAGGTCGAGGTTACCCATGCCGAAGTCGAAGTCAGGAGGCATGTCGAAGATCTCGTTGAGAGGTGGTAGAGAGGAGGGTTGTAGGGATGGAGTGAATACCTCCGCTGATGGCGAGAAGTGGAAGGGTTCGCTAGCTGGTGGAGGAGACTCTCGCTTCAAGATGGGTGCGAGAATGATAGTGGGTGAAGATGATGCCGTGTCGATGGATCGCATGGTGTGGGTAGATGCTATGCTGTTGGCACGGGTGTGGTGGGGAGCTGCGAAAGCCTCCCGACCGGCACCTTCCACATCCTCGCTGCAGTCTATGCTGTAGTCTGTACTGTGGTCGACTACGCGAGGCTGTTGTAGGTACGGGAACCGCACTGGGCAATGGCATGCTCCACGAGCGTGCATGAACTCGTGTTCGTGGATTACAATGTCCACCCAGCGACCGTGGACAATGCGTGCGCAGGGTGGGCACATTGTGAATGCTAGGAGGGGGCGACACGCTGGGAAGGGACAGATTGGGTTAACATGACTCTGGGTAGTCATCGGGCAGGGTCGCTTCACCGGGAGGGATGTGTGGCCACAGGTGTAGCCGAGGAACTCAGTGAAGCACATGGTGGCTAGATTGATTGAGCGCTCGGTGATGTACAGTGGTGGTTATTTCTTCTGTGGGTGAAGCTGAAGCTGGTCAAACTGACGTTCGTCGGTTTCTGTGTGTAGATGGCTATGTGCTGAGATACTTGAAGAAGTATGATGTGCAAGATCAAGCTGGGGTACAGTTATGTCTGGCAGTGTTGTCGTTGCTTGGACACCTGAAGGGCAGACTGTCTGGTAATCTTGATGTTCTTAGACGATATTCATAAGAATATTTGGCAGACTGTTAAGTGTTGGAAGAACAATACTGGAAGATGTCAGAGGAAATAGGAATGTTGAAAGTGTGTAGGTGGGAGAGTTAGGAAAGTTGTCTGAGGACTGGTTAAATAGTAGGGGCGTTGGGTGCAGTTTGGCTGGGAGGGGGGACGGTTGGTCAGTGGCAAAACTAGGGCTATTCTCACCTTTACCAACCAGAGAAGGAAGTTGCTATTCCTGAGGATGGAAGACGAGGTATGGGATGAAGCAATATCGCACCTGATACTGTTGAGGAGGGTGTGACGGGAAAGGGGGGGAAGGAACGAAAGTTGAGATGGCTGCGATTTTTCCTCTAGACGCAGGTACTGATCAACAAACTCCAGAACAATAACTACGTTCCACATTTATTTCATTGAATCAAGATAGATCATAGCTTGCCCTCCTGTACCGGCCCTCTACGATTAAATAACGAAATTCTTTCACACCCCGAGGTGTGCTGTAGGCGATATTTATTCACTAATGGAGTCAGCGAGTCAATTCTTTTTTTTTTTAGCTAACGCAATAGGCGGATAGTTCAAGAGAGCAACTAAGTAGAATTACCAGGGAACCTGCGGCAGACCTACGGCAGACCTCCAGTACTCACAGCCAGGGTACAAGAAGATCTTTTGATGGCAGAGTCCAAATTCGAATGAGCGGTAGGAGATGTCGTCAACTGATACAAAGAAATATCAAGTGAGACGATAGAGATCTTGGTATGGGGAAGCACAAGCATAGTGTTGAATTAATTACCTAGATACAAGGCCAAGGTTACATAGACAGAGATCCGATTCTAGATAGTCTCTCCACTGCCGACTCTAGTCATTGGTTCATTTGACAGATCTGGGGGATCTGGTCACAACTAAGACTGTTAGGATGACAATATACGCCTCTTTCCACGGTACTGGGTACCTGTCAAGCACAGACCCTAGGGGGACGGTTAGGGGGAGGGGGATGCTGATTGCGTGCTAGAAACAAACTCATAGCCCTTGTTGCATACACTATTCGTCTTTCTACGGCAAGGCCCGAGACGAATTAGGTAAGCTTCGGTTATTATTCCGATATTAGCGCCTTCTATTTCGCCATGGTAGTTTCCTTACATGTGGAGAGAGGAGACGCCTATTGGTATTTGGGTCTTTAACCTTTCAGGGGCGGGGTCTCGTGGTTTCCGTACTGGCCGCAAATTTTTACAGGTGTCTTTAGGTATCAAGTAGGACATGAATAGAAATTATTTCGTCTCATTTATAATTGCTAGGTTAATAAAGTCTTGGGGAGAATGTCAGTTGCCTTGAGATCAGTAGTTTTATGTACTTAAGATGATAGGCTACTGGTTACCTACCTACCGTAGGTACCTACCTAGACATTAGGTACCTGTAGTGAGGAATTAGATACCTAAAGCGTAGAGATTTTGTTGGGAAAATGGGATTCAATCAATGATACTAGGTATGTGTGGATTTGTGCGAATGTGTTCTTTAGTACGTGGCCTTAGGAGTACCTGCCTCTGAATACATTTGGGAGGGGGATAGTGCGAAGATGGCATTTTGTGCTGATTTTCAGGTTTGTTTCCACTAGAAACTGATTTTTTGAAATCAGACACCGCGTTTGTTTCTGCGAATTTCTAGTTATGGGAGACTCTCCGTGTGTAGCTTTTATTCTGTGGTGATTATGACTACCTAAACACTAATGAGAGTCCATACCGAAACTGTGAACCTGCCTAGTTACACGAGGCTTTATTGTAAACTTTGAAAAAATACTCACATTGAATGAGAGGCTAGTTAAAATTATATGATGACTTATAGATGCGACAGACTGGCTTTATTACCTGCAAGATCTTCATGATGTCTGACTTTACAGAGTGAGTATTGGGAGCGGGTAGCTTGTTGTAGGCTCGCCTTATGGTATCCAGTAATTCATGGCCATTAACGCCTACTTCTTTTGAAAGATCTATTGGGGTCTTCAGCGCTTTGTACATAAGATACAGTGAAGGCGCTGTTATATTACCTCTCACTCAGTCACATAGCACATTCATAGATAGATGCATCCTTAAACTATCATGAGTCTTAATGAAGTAAAAGCATAACGGATATGAACACACATATGGACATGTTTCAGTAGTTCTTCATAACCCAAAAATATTCTAATTTTTACTCAAAAATAAATTTTGTAACGAACCTAGGTTCCTGTGTCTTGGTTTGAAGGTAACAATAGGGAATTATTCGCTGGAGAGGCTTCAAAGACTTTTCACATATATAATACTTTGAGCTTCAACTAATTTATAGGGTGGTGATTGTATCTGAAAATGTTTATGTCTTGTTGCTAATTAATGTGGCAATAAGGACTCCCTATTCTCCCAGGACTTGTGGGGCGTTCGAGATCCGGGATCCACGTGACATCGGAATAAGCATTCTCCTATTCCGGGTAGACCCACTTGACTTGCGAAACATCTTAGGTAATCATTGAGGGTCACAGGTGAAGATCAAATTGGAAGTTCCAAGCCAAACCTACCTACGTTTAACATTATTGTCGGCAACTAATTATACACTCTCAAATTCTCATCGCATCCGTGTTTTTAGTCAAGTAATTGAATCGGTGTCAATTGAAAGGTTTCTGACGTAAGAGCCTAACAAACACCATATCCTCGAAGCTTACGGACTAGATGAACCCCGTACCTAGTAACGGATCAATCTGCAGCGTCTTCTTCTAGCCGACCTTAATACTGACTACAACCTTACAAATAATGATAACTCAACAAAACCTCTAGTCCAGTCAGTCTAGCGGCGATATACTTATTAATAGATCAAAATATAGAAGGCAGCTTTGTAATACTCTCACGAGGCTCTAAACGATGAGTAATTCTTAATGGCCCCCAACTAACACATCCTACCCAAACCTCTTTTTGGAGTGGTGTCCGAGCTCGTCTACGAGGGGGTGTAATGAGGGGAATTTTTCTCAATCTCGCCATGTCAACGAGGATCCGTTTTGCAAGATGATATACATATTTAATACATGTCGATTATTTACGGCGTCTATTTATCCATGTCCGCGGACCTTCTCTGCGGCTGAACCATCCAAAATAAGATCGTGGTGGGGGAGCACTAAGACGAATATTGCAAAGTCGACATCAGACCCGCGGAACTATCATATACTGGATGTGTGATAGATCCTGTGGTTGGTCATCTGTTAGGCAAGGTCTTTCAGCTCTTGCTCTGAGCGCCCTACCTAGGATGTACCAGCCTCTTCAGCATTGACATATGTGATATATGGCATCCCGTTTCATAATGCTCTCGTTTTATGGAATATCTCCCCTACATCGTACCAATAGTGTAAACAAAATAATGTCCGGTTTCATGTTATATGTCTCTTGCTATCAAGGTCAAGTATTCAACAAATGAACGGATTGCGAATAATGACAGGCGAGCCACCTATGGAAACTAAGTAAGTTGTCTCTTCTCTTTGTAAGTGTGAAAACTAATAGGGGAAGTGTTATTGAAGGCCTACCACCATCAAGAGGCGAGTCCGTAGTATTTACGGAGACTACCGACCTCAGTTCTTTGCCCGAGGGAACCGATGGCGCTCACAGCGAAAATAGTGAGCAACTAACAGGAGAAGAGAACTTTCGTGCTAGTCGGTTTGCAAAGAAGAGCGCCCTCTCTCAGTGGTTCCCGCAAATCAAAGATGACGAGAATAACAGCAGGCGCATATACTTCTCGCGGAGAAGCCGTGCTCTTCTGTTACAAATCCTGCTCATCGGTCTCATATTTACGGCTAATCTTGGCTTGACAATATTCGCGATTGTTCATTACGAGAGCCAAAATGGAGTAGGAACTATCTACGAGGGCGATTGTAAAAAGGTCAAAACCCTTGACCAATGGTTACATCTTTTGATCAACTTCCTTGGAACCGGCATGCTGTCAGCGTCGAATTATTGCATGCAACTTCAAGCTGCCCCTACTCGAGAAGATATCGATCGCGCTCACGAAGCCAAAGCACATGAGCAAAATCCCGAACATCCAGAGGGTCGATGGCTAGACATTGGTGTACCAAGTTTACGAAATCTCCGATATATCAGCAATTGGAGACGGGCTGGCTGGGTTCTCCTGGCTCTTAGCTCCATACCCATCCACCTAATGTAAGTCGACTATTACTTGGAAGGACTGTTCAAGGTTGACTTTGAAGCCGACAGGTATAATTCTGCTGTATTTCAGTCTCTCGCATCAAATGATTATACGATTGCAGTAGTGAAGGATTCATTTGTCAATGGAAGTTCCTGGAACCTCACCACGGCCCAAGATAACCGACGGGGAGATTATGGTTGGGACGAAAGCCGGGTCAATCCGTCTAATCGCAACTACACGGAAATTATTCAGGATATGCAGAAAAATGTGATGGGTATTGGATGGGAGGAGTTGAATGTGTCCGCCTGTTACGCACTGTACAACGACTATTTCGCGGCTCAAGGCAACGGTGTCATATTCGTAAAGAATGACACTGGTTCAGAGGATGACAGTCTGTTGATGTATGTATCCATCATACCACGGTCCGACGACTGGGCGAAGAATATGTGGGCGGCTATGAATGGGTCGTCGAATTTTATAGCCAGAGGCACCGACGATACGGTAACCACCTGGTTCCTCGGACCGAAACAATACGAAGTAGCCTCTTGTCGAGTCCAATCTCCCGATACGATCACTAACCACTGTCGATTCGAGTTTTCGCCAGGAATAATGCTTACTGTCTGCGTACTGAACTTCACTAAGGGCTTCGTGATGTTATTCATCTGGACGCTGAGGAAATGGCAGGAAACTGAGCGCGGTGAAGAGGATAAGGTAATCCTATATACGCTCGGTGACGCTATTGCCTCTTTTATGAGGAAACCGGACCCGACCACGGCCAATATGTGTCTCGCTACTAAGGATGAATTCATACGTCGACGTCCATGGAAATCCCATCTCGTAAAGCAACCCCTCCAACTGAACCGGAACCCTAGAGAATGGGAGAAGAAAGACAAATACTGGTTTACCGCTGCCAGCATCCGACGATGGTTCATATTGCTATTTTTGTAAGTTGACGGGAATTCATACATTGTGTCCTCGGGTATTGTCACGCTATTATAATTCTAACATTCTTCCAGGTGCTGTCTTACCATTCTAGTAGCAGCAATCCTACTCGGTGTATCTTTCACGAGCCTACATCATCGAAACTTCTCCACATCTATACCGGCACTCTACGATCTAGGGTTTGGTCAATTGACGCCATATACTTATCTCGTTGTCGGGCTTCCGCGAGAGGATCCAAAGGGCCTCATCTTGAATGTGCTCTTGGCGAATCTACCTCAGTTAATCGTATCCATCCTCTACATATTCTATAACGCTATGTTGAGCACATTCTTGGTCCAACGAGAGTTTAGTCGGATGTATCTGAACCAACGAAAACCACTTCGCGTGTCGGAACCAATAGGGATTCAGCGGTCCAGCTACTTCATCTCTCTGCCGCTCCGCTATGGGATACCCCTTTATGCGACATCCGGTCTCATGCATTGGCTGATCTCGCAGAGCTTGTTCTTAGCTCGAATAACAGCCATATGCGCAGATGGGGACCCGGAAGTGTGTCCTGGTGGTCAAGTCGACCTTGCTAACTCCTTCTCAACTTGTGGCTATAGCCCGTTTGCTGTTTTCATTAGTAAGTCTAGATCTATATCATACGTCGCACCTGGTCTGTGTATCTAACGGGTAGTAGCATTGCTCGTCGGAGCCTTCATCGTCTTATCAATCGTAGGAATAGGGTTTCGCAAATACGATGGAACTATGAGCATGGTCTCGACCAACAGTATGGCCATTAGCGCCGCTTGTCACGTCCTCGAAGAAGATCAAAAAGACGGTTACCTTCTCCCAATCCAATGGGGAGTTGTGGAAATCAACGATAAAATTGGGAAGTGCGCATTCACGACAGCTCCATCAGACAGGATAAAAATGCCGGAAGCCGGATTGAAGTATAAGTGATTATATCCAGGGCGACGCTTCTCGATAACTCGTAATAAAACAATGGCCTCGAAGCTCAAGACGATTACAAGTTAATTTATAATAACCCTAACCAACTCCGCACCCATAAGTTTGCTTTATACCGTTGCCCATGTGTATCCGGTACAGTACCATAAGACCGTCTAAGGTGAATATGATAGATCGCCACCATAATTCCAAAATCCTAACGAAGGCGTTCCCAATAGAACCTCATAAAATGTCGAAATAAATCAATCCTAAGAAACACCGGAATACGTTGCATTTAAATCCTCTTAGCCCGACTCCCCTTCCCATCTGTCCCGCGCATCTGCCGCGTCCCAGCGGCTTTCTTGCCCGGGCGGCGCGTCAGCGTGCCGTTTAGCTTCTTGGCGGCGCCTTGGATCTTGTCTTTGAGGTGCGGCTTGCGGTGGTGGTGGGTTGCTGGTTGTGCGGTCATGTGGCCGTGCCGTCGTGATGTGGTTGTGGTTGTGGTTTTGGCGGTGCGCCGGCGCTCGGGCTCCGTGGAGATGTTCAGTTGGATGCGTGGCTTGGAGTGTCCGGTTGAGGAGCGGGTGAATGCCATGGTTGTTTGGTGTGTGATTGGACTGGTTTGCAGCTGGAAAAGGGGTGTTGTAGGGGGTAGAGTTGGATTATTCTAGGTTTGAGAATGTATAGGAGTTAGATAGATATCTAATGTCTCGTGGTATTCGAGTCTGTTTTAAAGGGCATCAAATGCTGTTCCCCGAGTCCGTGGTTCTTTGAACAATGAGACACGTACGGAGGATACTGTCATCTCATTAGCTGTCGCGTGGTGGAGGTGACGTCATGCTAGTTGTCAAGCAGGTTTGTCCTTTTACGTCGATCTAGTCCCGTGGAATGACGTGGCGAATTGTTTCTATGGCTCTATTTGGACCTACGATTCATCGATATTCATGCAAGGGATCTTAAAGGCGTGCTTCTGAAATTCTTAAGGCTTGGGGTTATTATGGCGATTGATAAGGGTTGTTGGGGGCTATTGGCGTGATTATCTCCGATGGATAGGAATGACGAGAAGAACCGTTGGATGGGATAGGGAATATACTTGTCTCATCTCGATTCCGCCGGAGTTAAATGGGCTATGTCGAATTGTCAAGGCATTGCGATCATCTTACCTTCTAACAACTACCTACAGTCTATAGAGAGGCGAATACAGTATGCCTAAATGCGCTGTTTCAAAGAAACCCCTATCTAAGTCATGGAGACCTAGATGTGGAAATGAACAAAGGCTATCTGACAGTCGCCCCCGAATTATAAACATCAAGGCGAAATTGATTAAGGTCTGGTGTTGTTATTGGTAGAGGTCTATACCGCCGACCATAATTCGAATATCCGAACTGCGCATGCGCAGTTGGCTGATCTTATGTGGATGTCATGAATTTCTCAAAGATTCATGACTCTATGGTGTTACAAGACGATATCGGCTTATTATACCTTAGAGCTTAGTCGACTTCGCTGTAATTCGGTACCGAATCTGTGCATTGAGTTGGTCAACGTCGCAGCCGACGACGCCCGGCTTTGGTGGTGATGCGTTTGAGTGTCAGATCAGGAGGAATTAACGGAATTGACAACTTGTGACAACTTATGACCCGGATCGGATCAACTTCTTATCTTCCCGTTAGAAGTCGAACACGACATTTCGGGATCCTTCCCGCGTAATCTTGCTCGATTGACTTAGTTTCTCTTGATCCTAAAATGTTTGGGTAGCCTCTCGGTGTCGTAGTTGGAAGGTTCTCCACCACGTATAATGTCTTTTGACAGTTGATGGCTACGGCCCCTATCTATTGCAGATGGGAATCCTCGTGGTCTTGTTGAGCTAAATTAGCTTCTAATTTAGTTGTTTGAAGTGACGAAATGTCTACAGGTAGGTTCCTTGTAGGTACAGGTACCTATACCTACCTATGCAAACGGCCTCGAGTCTTCGGACTTTGTAAACTTCGATGTTCGAATACTTACATCTATTACCTTCTTGTATTTTATCCAATTTTGTCTCTATCAACTCTCAGCTTACCCCTTCTTTGAGGACCTTAAAGTAACGAGATTCCAACCCTCGTCAGCATCCCTTAAAGATCGAGATGACAGCGTCAATCGTGTTAGATCCGGACTGAACATTCCTTTCCCCCACATCACGGAACGCCTCGAGCTAGAATTAGCTCATTTAGCACGAGGCGTTCTGCACGGACACCGGATGGAATCATTGGAGTGCCTAAGCGAATGAAATTGACCCCTGGGGGCCGCCGAAGCTATTGGCCGTCACGCTAAACTGCGCCCCAGTCCAGCTCTTCTGGTGTACAGCGTAAGACATCCTCCTGAAACCCGCCAATCAGCTTCTAGTTGTGGCACACGCAGATATCCTACATGTAGCTAGGTAGCTACAGTGAAGTTGCTGTCAAATATTAATTGCATTTGCTTACCTAGTGGTAACCATGTTATCCATATTTCTCGCAAAAAAGACGTCTATATGGCCCACGTTCGGTGATCGGGGCTGAAGCAAACAGCTAGGTACTAACCTACCAGCCTACATATCCATAGGTAAGAAAAGCCTAGCTTCAGCCCTACATGATTCCTAAGATAGATGGGGTCCTTCTAGGCGAAGTTTGCCGTTCGATCATGATGCAAGGCATCCTTTGCCTTGCTCACCCCTTTCTCTACCTACATATATTGTTTTCCTGATGCAGGATATGTACCTACTTGCCGTCTTGCTTTCCATGCATATCGGCTTAAGGTCGTGTTACTCAGCCTGCATGAAGGGTTGCCAATCAAGCTCTAGGACATACAAACCAGACGAAACGTGGGGAATCCTACGGCTGAGGCAAGCTCATTGAAGAGCTTCATATGTTCTTTGAAGATAATCTGTTTATTGTTCTCCTGGTAGCTATAATAGCTTACCAGGTCCACTCTCGTTTTCGTATGCTGCTCCCCGAGTCGACTTCCTCCGCTGCGGAGGGAGTTTCTGATGCACCTAGCATCGCGATCCATAATCCCGAAGAATATGAAGAGGAACGTTCGAGATGGAAGGGCAAAGGAAAGGCTACCGCGCCAAGGATAGATCCTGGGTCCGTATCAAACGGCCTGTCTGATAGTGAGATACCCGTCGACTGGACCCAATACGATCCCCCGGAAGGCCTGAAGGATCCAGCTGGTTGTAGCACAGATATCGTTATCCAAATCATACAGGAATCCATTGATAGAGTTAAGGCGCGAATAGTCGAGGAAGCGGAGAGACGAGAGACAGAGGATGAAGTTAAGAAATTAAGACAGGAGGAGAGACTTAGGCAAGAAAACGAAGACGCAAAATATGCCGAAACTTTGAATTCATCCCTGGATGAAATGCTGGGGGAACATGGCGTATCACTCGACATCCCGGCCGAAGCTAGCTTACCAGAACGACCAGCGAAGTCGAAGAAGCGAAAATTAATGAATCTTCTCCGTCGACTGAATAATATTGGGGAGAAAGGCGAGTCGAGCGCAACCGGAGCAACTCTTCATAGACGCGACGTATCTTGGAGTAGCATTGAACAAAGCACCCAGACAGCGAAAAGGAAGATCGTATCTGAGGTGTTGAAGAGGACGACAACAAATAGCAGTGGAGGCGCTTCGGTCCGTAGCACAGAACTGTAAGCGACTAAACCATGAGCAAGACATTTAACTTCTAGGTATAACTAACACCAATATAGGGAATGCGTTTCCTGTCTAGATGACTTCAGTCCCAAGGAGATGGTCAAGGCTCCATGTCACAGCTATTGCAAACCCTGCTTTCTACGTCTCATATCGACGGCCTGCCAAAACGAACAGCAGTGGCCTCCCAAATGCTGCTTAAATATTATACCTACTAAAACCATAAATGCCAACATAAACGACGACCTAAAACAGACATATCGCAACAGAGCAGCCGAGTGGAATATACCGGTGAGCGAGCGGATTTACTGCAACCACGCCAATTGCAGCGTCTGGATTCGGCCGAACCAAATTAACCGCGCCCAAAATACGGCAACATGCTCAGCAGGTCACAGGTCTTGTATCATCTGTCGCGGTCCGCGACACGAGGGAAATGAATGTCCGCAAGATAGAGATATGATGAGAACCGACGAGCTTGCGGAAGTAGAGGGGTGGAAGCGTTGCTATGGCTGCCACGCGTATGTCGAGCATAGAGAGGCATGTCAACACATGACCTGTCGATGCGGCGCCGAATTCTGCTACGTATGCGGGGCACGCTGGCGAACATGTGGTTGCGGAATGGAGGAATTAGCCGCCGTCAAAAGAAGAGCGGAAGAGCGACGCCAAGCTCGTCGGGATATCGAAGCTTTAGAAGAGGCAGATATTCAGGAAGCTCTACGTCTAGTAGCAGAATTCGAACGCGAAGAGGCGCTTAAAGCTGAGTTGCTACAACGGGAACGGGAACGAATAGCCGCCGAGCGCCGGGCGAAGAAAATTGAAGAACGGATCAAACACGAAGGCGAGAGACGGCGACTTGTGGGGTTGAAATTCCAGGAACTCCGGGAGGTATTCGCGAATCTACACGATCTCCAACGGATCGACGTGCAGCGCACGCACAGCGAAGAACAAGTCAGCCTCGAAATGACAACCGCTGCGACATTAGTGGAATTTCAGGAAAGTTGGAAGGAAGAACACGAGAAACTAAAAATGACTGCTAAGGCTAAGCTGGCTAAGAAAGAGGAGGCGCTCAAAAAGGAGTACGTGGCGCGCGTGATCGCGGAACATCGTATCGAGGAGCAGTATCAGGCGGAATTGAAGACGTACTGGTCTCGCTCTCGCAAAGAAGATCGGGAGGAACGGGCTGAGGCTGCGATGAAGGAGCTTAGACGTAAAATGGACGATGGCTTTAAGAGCTGGGAGAAATGGCGGGATAACGAACTAGCGACTTATAGCTGGGATGTTAAAGAAGAGCTGGGTATCCGGGAGGAGCGTATGGAGGTGGAGGAGCGGAGGTTGGTGGAGAATACGCGGGAACAGCAGGACGAATTCGGGAGGCGCAAGGCTGCGGAGTTACGGTGGGTAGATGTTGTTGTTGAGGAACGCGATCGCATGCTTAATGATATGGAGATCGATGAGATTGAGAGGGGCGAGGATGTTGATGCTTGGTTTGAGGATGATGGGTTTGATGATGGGTCTATTGAGGATATTGATATTGAGATACCGCGGGAGATGATATGGCGACCTCCTATGCTAGGGATAATGCCTAGTCTCATTTGGTCGAAGTCATAGAATAGCGAGTATGCCTCTGGTGTATCATATTTTGCACATGTCGGAGCGTTATTTAGATAAATACAAAAAATATACTCGTACGTCTCGATTCACTATAGTAGGTAGCTATCGCTAGGAATAGGGGTAAAACACCTACCCCTTATGCATTGAACACGGGGTAGGAGCGACGAAATCTATACGGAGGGAAATCACGATCGAAAGGTTAAGTTTATTTCTACATCATGGAAATCTAGATTAGGAATGATTATTCTATCTTCCGACTTCAAAATGAGAAAAGTCTCACAACATCAGATATCCAATACAAGTCACTCGTTGAAGTCATTCTAGATAGATTCATCATCAATACAGAACAATGGATCCCACAGCACGCTTCGAATCATTCAGCCACTTCCTCCAACAACAACCCACACCACACATACGACCATCATCCTCTCGCCGCCCCTCTTTCCAGCACGCCACCACGTCGAAGCCATCCACTTCTTCGTTTGACCACGGGCAACGCGGTGGACAGCAGCAGCAGCAGAACGAGCAGCAGAGGCAGCAGCAGAGGATGGCGGCCGACCAGGCATACAGAGCTACGTTGTGAGTCTGCTCCATCGACACGATATCTATCTATGTACGAGATGGCATCTGGGTATACCGAAATTCGGTATTACCGATATACATTGCATTACATACGCACCACAAGTCATACATACCTACCGAGTACTATTCCAAATCGAACGCATTCTACACCCGCCCCTTCACCTACATCCCATCCCCACCAAGATAACAAAGTCACATCGTCTATCTCAACTCCCCAACTCCCATACCCACCGTCAAATTAACCAAAACAGCGCCTCCCACGAACGATCCGTCTTCCAAGACGAAGCGCGGACGAGGGCGCGCCGGCGCGACGCGGCTCGGAACCGGGCGCTGTTCCGCGGGCCCTTCTACAAGCGCCCCGAGTTCTACGCCGTCACCCTCGGCTTCCTCGGCCTGCTGTACCCGATCCTGAACGAGTACGTCATCGAGCCGTAGTGGGACAGCGTTAGGCATGAGGAGGGGTGATATACTATACCTACCTAGGTACATACATAGATGGGTAGGTAGGTGTCTATATCATTGTGCTGAGCGAGTGTCTGTGTGGAGGAGGGGAAGGGAGAGGGGAAGGGGGATATCGGTAAGGAAGAGGATGGATGGATGGATGGACGGGTATGGAAAGATACGAGGCTGGATGGATGGCTAGGTGTGACGCCACGGTTGGGTGGGGTGAGGCTTGTGATGAGGTGTCTGGATGCGCGGGCGTGGGGGCTGAGGGCGCCGGTGTAGTTACGGCGAAGGGGGCGGGTTCATCGACTATTAGGTATCTCTTAAGCACTTCGTGCCTAGGTATATGGCTATGCAATGCGAGGACACCGATTAATCACCTGGGTTCTGTCTCGACACACACCCGGCCTGCTTTGCTGTCGAGTCTACGTCGCACTTGGGCCGAAATCAAGGCGAGGCGGAGGGCGGTCAAGGCTCAGCGCCTCACCTAGGTACACAGGATGTTGTCCTGCTCGACCGGACGAGTCTTCCGTCGAGCCTGTTCTAGATTGTTACGGAGCGGCTGTCCGCATAAGCAGACAGCCCGTGGCAATATATTTGAAATGAAGAGTTTCATCGTCAGCCCTATTGGTATATATCCTTTTGATGTGTGTGGTCGAGGGAGTTTTTATGCCGAGCCCGATTGGAAGGTACCTGGTATTGAGGTTACACCGTGGCGTTATGTGGGAACACGACTTGAATTGTCAATTTACTTCACCATAGAGTAGTAGCTTGCTTCGATTGTCCTTCAGCTTGGTAACGGGTAGCTTTCATTCATACTGTAACCTAGGTGTGTAGATATGCAGTATTGGCTTGATTCCAGGACCACTCCTAGATTCTTCTACATACATAGTATGGAGAGCCTGGGAAGCATCATGCTCCTTGTACGAGCTATTATGTCAACAAACATCCCATGACTACCAGCTCATACTTACATGTGACTTTTTTTCGTTAGAATACGGTGTCGTGGGCTATTGTCAGGCGAGACAACTTGTAACACGTCTGAGTATCGATTCATAGTTCAGAACGGTCCTCGGCGGAAGGCGACGTGGTTGATTATACATACATGATATGTACGGTTCTGAACCCATCTCAATCTACAGTAACTTGTTTAAGAGAACCCACTTCCTGTCAATAACAACACAAAGTTCCGAACCGTAGGCAATAGTCTTTGGCGCCGATGCACATGACATGCATATACTAGATGTTATGTGTACGAGATCACGTGCAATGGTGCTGGACCTCAGTGTGAAATTAGCTGGATCAGGGAAGGGAGCGCTGCATATCCGCTTGGATATTGCGGTGAAGGGTGGCAAAATAACCGCGTAGGGTAGGTAGATATGACGATGATGGGAAGACGACGCGAAAACGCGGACACGCTTGTCTGTGGTTTATGCAGAGTTCGACAGTCGTGTCGACTACTGTATGTATGTATGTACGTCCGATCCGTTGCAGACGCGACGAGGAACCTTGGAATTGATACCTGCCTAGGTACGCACGTATGGGGTTGACCCATCTTCCCCAACAAAGAAAAGATTGGTACAGACTCGTACCATGAGGGTCATAAATGCGATCTATGGTTTGCCGCCTTGTCGTCGATGGAATGTCCTCGAAAGAGTCTAGAGTTAATTCCAAAGCCAGGTGATTCATGAGACAGTCCGTTGGTCAATTGGAGAAAATTTTCTCTGCAAAGAACCAGTCAAGAACCAGTCAAGTCGGGTCCTGTTGCTTTCTGCAAATCGCTTCCACTTTTTGGTGTCCGTAAAGCCCCGTTGGCATAAAGATGAGTGATATGAACTTCAAGCGGTGAAGAGGTCGCGATGCCGCTTTCGGTGGATAATCTGTGGGATGATGCATGGGAGGATCCGCCCCGGCGAGCTAGGACTGGACAGCGAACAACCACTACCCATTTTGATGGGGCAGTGTCGCGTAGAAAACGTGCATCAACCCAAAACGGACTTGGGAGTGGCGATAGTACATTAGTTGCCGATTTGATTTGACTGGGCCAGCAGCGGGTGTTGCGGGAAGCCAGGATTAGACGGCAGGATACAGTAGTGATACCGTAGCAAAGGCTGCAAAAGCTTCTCGCGGTCATCATGGATGTTATATGTAGGTGTGCATTTTCATAATCAGTGTATTTCCATAGCAACCACAACACACTGATGACTGAACACCCAGGTGATAAAAATGGTAAGCATGGGTTGTAAGATGCAGTACGCTGTACTTCGTAGATGCATCTGGCATGCCTTAGCCTTAGTAGCGTCCACTTTCAGATGGGTCCTCGACGACGTGGAAGAACGGCGACGCGCCGGACAAGGAGTAGATACAAGCTAATAGGTGCATGGCTGCCCATCCGTCATGTATCAATACCTGGACACTCTTCCCATTGCAGCCGAGAGGTGCAAAATTCGGAGGATTCCCTCGATTCCATTGAACCATTGATCGTTCCGCTTTACTGCGCGTGAGTGAATGCTTCGGTCATTGGACGCTTGTCCGCGCATCTTATTTAGATATTTGGATACTGTACGAAGTACATAAACAAGTATGTGTCTCCAGCAGTTCAAGCAAACGGGCAGACGGGATAATCACTCGCTGCCGTAACTGTTGCGCAAAAAGGAACGGAAATACTCTTATGCAAGTCAAGTGCAAATTTTCCAAATTGGAGATGCGACTTGCACATCTACCCATCCATCATACGCGTCCTTAACATTGATGGATGGCTCAGCCGTCGCACTGGAACTCATCCAATTCGAAGAATAGATAAGGGCATAATACGTAAGCTGCAGGGGCTGGATACACAAATATATATTTTGAGACTGGATTGGTTAGGCGATGGAAAAGCTGAGAGGGAAAAATTGATGAGGGGTCCAAACAGAAAATGGAAAAGGAGAGGGGGGGGCTGCGGGCTGTAAGCTGTAGGGGCGGGAAATGGGAAAAGGGAAAAACGAAAAATGAGAATGAGAGGAGAAATCCAGATTTCATGTGGCGGGGTTTCATCGAGGCGCGAATGGTGAAGATCGTTCGCGGTTTTACTGCAATGGAAGCACCGAACGCAGGGACCAGACGGCATGTACATGCAATCAAGTTGATAAGTCAATTTTAATGTATTATTCGTTTGTTCGATTTTAATGTTTGTATACGCCTACGTATATGAATAATAATAGGTACCTGGTATCTAAATAACTGAAGTTTATTCGGTCATACCTCCACTTAGATTCGAGACCGAGAAACTTTTAACTTTTAACGGAAAGAGAATAAACTCGGGGAATCAATTGATGTCACCTGAGTGTCTCGCGGCCTAAAGTGGATAGGAGGAGAGGAGGTAAGAGCCGGGGAGTTTCATGGTTGTCAAGGTTCCGTCATCAAGTGACACATTGGAGTAAAATGGCAGGCACTGTAGCAAATCTATAGCAAGGTTAGTAAACACTCTAGGTTATACCTAGCACCTGGCAGAAGGTTAATAGCAAGAGGGAAGAATATGGATGGATGGCAGGCAGGAACATCGAAGATATTGAAGGGGTACAGTTCCCATCGTTCACAACTTTACATCCATGTAATTGTTCATAGCATGGGGTGAGGTAAAATAATTGTGGACACATCACATCAGCGGCTGTCCAATGATAATGATAACCAGCCATCCCACAAACGGCTAACTTCCCCTCTATCGCCTATCGTCTCCCAAATCTAACACTTTTTTTCCCCCTTCGTCCACTAAGCTGCATCATGCTACTACATTATTCCTTCATTGCTGGGTTGCATCCGTACATGCATATGGATACATAATAGGTTCAGCACGTCCAATCTATTTGTTCTCTTGGTGTCCTTTTGCCCCTTTTGTACTTTTTGCTACGAGTAGAGAGGGGAGGAACTTTGGAACTTCGCATTGTATTTGCATCGCTATTTCGGGGCGAGCTACATACGACGTCTCCGGATACTTTGCTCTCTCGTCTCGCATCTGTGCATTCTCGGTATTCCATACGGGGCCACAACTCACCTACCAGCTCTCTGGTCTCTCTTAACTGATAGGGAGTCCTTATATCAGAAAAAAGGATAGTTAGAGGTATCTGAATTGGCCCGGGTGTATGTCCTGTGTATGTCCTGCCACAGACTCACCGCGAAATAAACTAATCAATCCTCGGCATCGTTTTCTTACACACCTTAACATCTACATTACGACGGAGGTCGATAGTTCGAAAATCCGCCATCCCGCTAAATCATTTTAACTTATACATGTAACCGGTTTTATAATATAAATATATAAAAAAGAAATATAATTCATATTATAAATAATATTATTTATAATAATTTATCGGTAAAAACGTAAATTTTATTTAATAAATATTAATTATTAGATTCGGTTTAATATTATTTTTTATTTTTCGTTATTTATTTATTTATTTAAATATTTAAATAATTTTAATTATTTTTAATTTTAAATTTTATAATAATATTATTATAAAATATTATTATTAAATTATTAAGAAAATATTATTATTAAATTAAAAAAAATAAACGTTTATAATTTTTTTATACTTTAATTATTTTTATAAAACGATAAAATTAAAAATTTATTTTAATATATTAATATTTATTACCCGGGTTATTTATATTTAAACTTATTAATAAATTTATAAATTATTAATAAAAAACTTTATTATTTTTTTTTATATTATATTTATTATATTATAATTTATAACGTATAAATTAAAAATAAAAAATAAAATCGAAAAAATAAATTATTTATATCGAAATTTATAAACGTAAATAAATTTACCGTGAAAATATTTAATAACGATATATTACGAAATAATAAATATTATTTTTATATTTTAAATTAAATTAAAAATACATTATATTTAATAATAAATATATTAATATTTTTATTATTTTTTATATTAATATTTTATTATAAAACGATATTTTTTTTATTTAAATTTTACGAATTAACCGTTTTTTAAAAAAATATTTAAAATATTCGTCGAAGTTTTTTTTTTTAATGTTAATAAATCGAACGAAATAAAAGTAAAATAATTCGAATTATATACG